TATTGTTCTACTGATTACAAGCCAAAATAAATTTAACCTATGCCAGTTTTTTTGGTTTATAACAAAGGACAATTTTACATCGATTGTGTTCAAGGTTTTTCGAAGCGGACTCATCAATAAATCTAATTTTTTGTTGTGCTTCAAGGAACATGTCAGAATTTATCAGATAGCATAATATAAATGAGCATTCATTTTCGTAATATTTACTGCTAATGATATGTTACGGAGAATTTTGTATCTAATTGAACTCAGAATATTGGACAAAATTTCCGAAGAAGCAATTTTCCTATGTGTCATAGTTAAACCTGTTGCTCACAGTTCACATTTAATGATATCATATCAACAATGCTACTGACCAGTTCCTATGTAGGCTTAATAATTAATGAAACACGTTAGATAACATTTGTATACTGCTTACACACATTTTCATAGATAAATCGGTGCGATATCTGTGCCCACCCATATCATAATTTATTGGCTGATAATTGATAACGAAATCTAGTTGATTGACATATTAATTCCACCAACAAATTTTTTGACAGGTATGTGTTGCAAATTATGTATATATCAAGGTTTACATTTATTTTTGAAGGCGTTATATACATGCGACTTTAAACATTTGTTTATGCATGTTTGAAAGTAAACAGAGAAGCTACATGAAAGAAACGTGTTTCTTAGCCTTTATCCCAATAAAAAAGTCACAAAAGTTGGTTGGAATATTCTTACTAAACAGACATCAGCAGCATGCAAAAGTATCTGAACTAAAATTCATCTATATTCAGTTTCTTCGGGGTGAAATACTTGGATGTGGAAATACTTTTTAAAATTAGATGAGTCAGTAGAAAAAAACATCGGATTGGCGCAAAGCGTGAGGCATCAAATTTGTATATGTTGCCATGCTGTTTCATGTTATCAGGTTGGCAACAACAAAATATGTAGACCAGAAAGCAACAATTACAAATGTTTTTATGTACCATATTTATACACATGTACACATGGGTATTTCGGAATGCGAAACGGGAACAAATAAGTAGAGCAGAGCGAATGGAGAAGTGAAAACAGGGGAAGTGACTGAGCCGGCAAAATACCAAAATAAACTCAAGTGCACTTTTGAAAAACATAAAAAATAAATAATAGAGGAAAAATGCTGTCGTTGGAAACGAGAAAAATATAAAGGTCTATTAATACCCGAAAAATACATAGGTATGTTTGTATAAAGTCGCAAACAATATTTTTCAACAAGTACCTATGTATGTATCTATGTACATTGAGAAAAGTATCTTTAAGATACATATATTTGTACATTTGTAGATAATTCAAGTCATGTATATGAAAAATGTTAAAATTTTTATTTTCAACTAACAAAAAATAATAAATATCTTTTTCCCTTCACATTATTTTAACAATTTACGCACGTTTTTCTTGTTCTTCCTTCGTTTTCCTTTCCGTAACAAATTTGCCGGCAGCTGCTCTTTCTTTTCCACTATTTTTCGCACTCTCTAGCGCCCACTCTCTCCTTTCCGCTCACTTCCTCTCTCCGCTTCCGATTTTGTTTTGATTCGCACTGCAGACGTGTGCAATAAATAATGATTTCTAATGTATGCCCGACCAACGACATTAATATTTATTGACGGCTGAAGGCGCACAAATTTTTTTCACACACCATAAAAACACACGACATCTCGAAATAAGGGAAATACACAGCTTGCTTTCGCTTCGATTTACATATTCAAATAGTTTTCCCAAAACGTTTTCGGAATAATTCTCAAATAAATAGTCCCGCTCGAAATGGAAAATCGAATTTCCGCGACCGAGTCGGAAAATAAAACTGCTGCGCGCTCCGCAGCTGAGAACTGAATGCGAGAATTGTAGGAAAATATATATTTGAAAGAGCGGAGAAACCGAAATCGGCCCGATAACAGCGGTGTTCCAGCTGTTAACAGAGCGTCGGTCTGTTAGCCACCACCCACACTAGTTTAACAGCTGTTAGGGTAAAAGTAGGGGAGGGGATGGAAAGAAGAAGAAAAAATCAACATAAAACTAAAAAAAACTATTTAATATATGACAAATATGCAAATAACCAAGTGTTTTCGATGACACCTTAAATACGTATAACTAAGTTATAATAGACATCTTTTTTAAATTGGTTTTTCTAGGTTTTTTTTTTCAAACTCCATATTCGGTATAAAATTCTGTAAACAAAAACATGTTATTTATTTTGGTAACGTAGTTTTCCTTAAAACGCAATAAACCCATCCTCGTCTTAAATAATCCATATCCACAGAAGCTTATACCCCATGACACACAAACTTAAATGAAAGGACATGCTTAAATTCGAATGGATATCGTTAGCAATTTTCTTGCATTCCTACCCACTTTTGTGCAGTTAATTGAAATAAATAATTGAGGGAGCAGGGCAAGTGAAGGCGACCACAAATGGCCGGGAAAAAGGAGAATCCCGCAATGAAATTGATTTTTTTTTGGTGGCATAACACGACTGCCAGCCAAGTCCTGTGTGCAAGGATAACAACACGATGGTAATTCCTTGATAATTGCAAAGGGCACGGAGCATGTGAGTGTGTGCGGCACTTTCAGTGCAAACATTTCAATATCGTGGCATTTCCATATTATCGATCCACAGCTGGCAGCTGAAGGCGTGGGTGCAGCTCTTTTATCTTCGGTCCGAAACACTAGAAGAGACTGTGGCGTATACATTATCCTTGTACTTGAACGACTGCAGCTAAGTGCACGTAATTGAATCCTTACGATGGGGTTCATTTTGCGAAACTGCGTTGTCTGTTGCCTTGATTGGATGCTCCTAACGAGGATTTTATGAAGGGAAAGAATACAATTTAACACACTAAAACCACAGAGAGGGCCGCGATTACACAGAGATAAATGTCTATAAAACACACTGTTGGAAATGATGAAATGAAATTGTGATTTTCCGCTTTTTTCAGTGTATGCTTTAATATCGCAAATGATTTTCTGAGCTGACAATAGCAAAATAATTCAGTTTAGTTTGGCTTTGCGCTCTTTAATTGTATGGGAATCTGGGAAGTAACAAGAGAATATTCCTTTACGGTGGAAGTCAATTTTTGTGCTAATAAATTATTAAAATAACTTTTCTGGGTACGTAGTTTCTACGTGCTTAATAAATTGTTAGCGAATCTGGAATGTTATAAATAATTCATTAGGGAGTTTTACGGCATGGAAGTCTGGGAACATAACGTTGGCTATAATAAGTATTTTGATTTATTTTATAAAAGAAAGCGAACAATATTTCTTTATTTAAAAAAATCTTTTAATATTAATATTGTAAAACGAACGTACGGCAAAATATTGTTTTAAAAGAAAACTCATTAACAAAATTATTTACAACTTAAAACCTACAATGGGGATATTAAAGGCTTTGATAACACATAAAGGCAATCCGCAAAGTCATTTGCAAACAAACAAAAGGCCGTAAACAGAAAACCGTCAAAGTTTTCCGAAAAGCTGGTCGCTGAAGAGCGCTGAAGCTATTGAAGTCTATAGTCCTGTTTCAGGTTCATTAGACTTGAACGTTGAGTGCGTGTGTGCGGCTTAAACTTTCAGCTGAAAAACATAGCAATAATAATAATAACGCCCAGCAACCCCCGAAGCTTTCTCATCGCCGCCGCCGGCTATTATGTAAGCCCAATGCTTTTCCCAAGGACACGCCGCAGGACGAACCGAAATAGCAAATCAGACAGCTCCTCCATCTCCTCCTCCACCAGCCATCAGACAGATAGAAGACCATGGGAAATGGAATACAACAATTTTATTACATATAACACATTTGCAATGACCATGGTCGAAGGACAAAGGACACAGCTACGCAGCAGTACAGTAAATCAGGCAAAATAAAAAAAAAGCAAAATCACACTTTTTTGGGGCGTGACGAGCGGACAATAGTTATTGCTTTGCCGCAGCGAAATTGGAGCCAAAAATCCAATAATGCATACTACAGTAAAATCCATTTGTCAGGGTGCATAGCGCTTGACTACATTTATCATAAATTATCAAATATTTTGGATAAATGACCGATTATATTTTGAGACTGACATATACTATATTATATTGTCAATAAATAAACAATCTAAAAATAACATGTTGATGGTAAAGATTTCCAGTTAGAAAACTCGTAATAAAGAATTGGATGGAATACAAAAATTAACATATAATATTAATTTATTTTATTTTTATCTGTTCATTATTTAAGCCTTAAAGTTTTGTTGTCTTAGGATAGAGAATAATTAGGTTTTATTTTCTTTTTGGTTTAAACAAAAGATCTCGTGATGGAAACCTTGCAGGAAGTCTGACTGCTTACACGGCTTTAAAATACACAATGGGCAAGGTCAACTTTTGAAGGACCCATAAAGTTGAAAATATTTTTTTGTCCACATGAAGGAACAAAATCATTATACATCAGAATGAACAGTAACGACAAAAACAAAGAGCTTGCGGTTCTTTTTGCATTATATAAAACTCCTACACACACGCACACTCGCACACAGGGAGCATGCATGAATCGTTGCCTGCTTTTGAGAGCTGGATGCAGTTGTTATTGTTTTTGTTATTGTTACGAGTTGCAGCAGCGGCAGTGACGTAAAAATGGCGTCGGCATAGACAATTTGTTTTTGTTTAGCGTAGGCACCGTTACATGCGCACAGGAGAGCCCCAAAAACATCTGTTTGCCGATTTTTTGTAAGCGCGTGGGAGAGAGTGTAACGGTAAATCGGGAGCGGGAGAAAGAGAGTAGTAAAGAGAGCGTGGTACTTTTTTTCCTGCACCTGATGACAGAACGTTTTTTCCGAAGGATTTATGGCTTTTGGCAAAGTCAAATTCCGACTAAAGGACAGACGAAAAGTCGGTAAATATCATACCTAACTTGTGGCTCCGTTATTATGCAATAACGTATCAATCAAAAACACCTAAATTTGATTTCCTTTTATTATGTAAGAGAAAAAGAAACTTACCGTTATTTAAGTAGACACACCTAAATTGAATTGTAATTGTTATATTTCTTATCGAGGATTTTCACCAGATTTCGGGTTTTCTTTTCAGACATTTCAGATTTGTTGGTTAAGCGTTAACGGAATTTGCTTTTAAATAAGCATTATTTTGAATACACTAACACACACAGCCCGAACTTAAATTTATTTTATTTTTTTTTGCGGGGGAGAAGGCGGCGGCTGCGACGTCGACCGCGGCAGAGGCAGCGGCGCTTACAGCGAACGCTTCAGCACATTGAAGTTTTGCATCAAATTTGCCGTTTTCATGTAAACGGCAAACAACTTGATGTGATTTTTGTGGAAACTGGTGTACTTGCTGCTGAAGAACCGCCGCTGGCACATTTTCACTGCCGATTCGATGGACACGCGCTGATGACTGAATTTTCCGCGAGACGCCAGCTTTTCCAGCCCCAGCAGGACATCCGCCAGGGATGACACGCTCACCGATTATCCTTCGATAGAAAGGATATCGGTTTGCAAAATGAACTAGTTGTGCACTGGCTGAAAATTTATGAACTTAATAATTATAAAAAAAATTATATAAGGTATTCGAACAATGTAAAATTGTATTGTTGTACCAGAAAAATGATAACAAACATGCTGTTTAATAACAAACAAGGTTTATTTTATTCAAGTTCATTCAAAACTAACAGTTTTCAAGCGAAAACTGTTCAGAAAACCGCTTAAAATTTGTGCGCAAATCTCCCGAGTCGAGCGATTAACCATTCCGGGAATTTAAAAATCAAGTGACTCAACGATTAAGTACCGAGCCTATGACGGCAGTGGTCAAAAGAAAGGAACACAAAAAACGGAAGGCTTATCAAATATGGAAAGTACAGGGCGATAGAGAGCTGCGCGTTCTGGGATCGAGGTAATTGATCTCTAAGGTATGCCTAACGTACGAACTAAAAGATAAGTATACAATTAAGTCTTTTATCAAAATCACAAAATCACAAAGCAGGAAATCAACGCAGGCCGAGATCGTTGTGTGGTGGGCAACGGATCGGGATCACAGCTTGCAGAGGCAGAACAGCAGCGGTATAAAGGCTCCGATGGCGATGAAAACCGGCAGCAGGATCGAAGAGTCGTCCATTGAATACGGATTCGGCTGACGTGGCCCACTGTACGATTTTTTCGAGTCCGGCGATTGCTGGGCTTGCTGCTCATTGCTCAGCTGATCGTTTTGCTGCTGCTCGGGCAGCTCCTCCTCGAACTCCTCATCGTCAAGATCCTCGTCATCCTCATCTATGTCCTCCCGCTGGCTGCGCACCACCTTCTCCGCCTGACTTCCTTGTTTCTGTTCCGGTGTCTGCTTTCCCTCCGGCTTGATTCTTTGACTCGCCTCCGTGCCATGAAGTCGGGGCAACTGGGAAACGTCTCCTTTCAGCAGAGCAAAGGCATTGATCTTCGGATTATCCAGTGCTCCCTTGATGAAGTCCAATCGCAGCCGACCATTCCGCACATCGGACACCTCGCCCTCGTAGTTTAATCGACCATTGTTGATCTTGAAGTACACAATCTCGTCGTGAGCCGAGCCTCTGCCAACCTCATTGTAGATGTCCAGCTGACGGACTACCGTGTGCTTTCGGTTGAGAAGCACATCGAAAACCTTCTTTTGCGGCGCATCGAAGTAGACTTCGCAGAACTTCATTATCAAAGCGTAATCTCCGTCACCATCGCTGGGTAAATCGTAGCCAAAAGTGGTGGTGTGATACCTTTCGGTTCTGTAGAGCACCTCGTCCTGTTCCTGTACCCGACCGATCATCAGGAGGTGTTTGCCGTAGTCCGAGGCGATTCCAATGCCTTTAAGAGGATCTGCATCGTATTGAATGCCATTTAGGTCAGTGTGCTCGTCCCCGCCAGCGTTAACGGCGTATATAACTTTCAGAGGTTCAGCTGCCAAGGAGCTGACGAAGAGGATCATTACTAGCAGTAAGGTCATCCATGTCCTGGGACCACTTGCCCGCAAGTAGTCCCTGAAAATCCCCCTTTTCCATGCTACGTTGCACATGTCAGCAGTTGTTGTTGTGCTACTGAGTTTGCTTGGCATTATTCCCTGTTGTGAGGCCCTCTTGTTTTGGCGTTTGAGTTTTCCGGAGTTTGTCCTGGTCAAGTCCTGTCGCCTAGCTAGCTGATGTGGTAGTGGCACGATTCTGGGGCCGGAATAAATCCATTAACAAATTTATTTTTATGCAGCGCAGCCTTTTCACATGTGCCAGGGCTGCAGCGATGGGTTCTTAACTAAAGGAACCAGTGAACCGGTGAACTGTTCTTGGAGGCCTGGTATTTTTTAAGGGTCCGAACTACAATTTTTTAAGAAAACCAATATGAAACTGTAACATGATTGCAATTACAGCTTAGGCATGAAAACAGATTTTTATAGCTTATTAATATTACAGAACTAATCGTAAATTTTATTTTGAAATCTTAATATTCAAATATCCAAAGAGAGACCCGACAAACTAACTAGTATATTTTAGTATTTCTTGTAGGTATATTATTTTGGCGCCCAGAAACCGGGCACACTGCGCTACACGTGCATCGATGTGGTTGAATTTCACAGGGAAATAATCCACAAAGAGTGGTTTAACACTTGTAAATTAAGTGAAATTCGTTTTTAACGACAGTGCGACAGCACTGAAGACAACCAGATCATCGAGTCAAGAACAGGGCAGCCATGAATTTCGACGACGAAGACCGATTGGAGCTGCAGTTTCTGGCGGGCGGCAACATCGTGGAACATGCGCCTGTCTTTTCGCCCGATGGAAGGTTAGTGCAAAAACGATAATATATTGTTATATTTTTTATAATCCGATCTGCTCGTTACAGATTTATGTTCGTGCGATGTTTGACAAAGGTGCAGGTATATGCTACCAGCACGGGAGAACTCACCCGGGTTTTGGATGACGCTACGGCGCCACTGATCAGTTTGGAATTGGATCTGAAGCAACCGGAACTCCTGATCGGGTGCACGAGTACTGGGGAACTGGTGCGGTGGAATTGGCGAGCGGGTGTCCTCAAGAAAACCGTTTCCCTGAATCTGGGATCTGGGGAAACCACAGTTTTAACCTGCCACCTGATGAATCTGTATAAAGGTGGCGACACAGCCTGCGCCTTCGTCACCACAAAAAAGAAAAGTGGAGACCAAGTCCACTGGTTTGTGGTTAACACAAGTACGGGCGAAACTGTCAATGTCAATTGTGGACTTAAACTCAAGTGCGTTTCCATCTTTAAAATTTCAAGCACCGTATAAAATCAATCTAATATTATATTCAATCTTTACAGAGTGCGTACTCCCCTCGTGGACGTGGGAAAGGGTCAGTTCAAGTACATTATTTTAGCCCAGGGATTCTACATTTACTTCCTTAACTATGAGACTTGGAAATTCTGTCGCTACAAGAGTGCCAACCAAAATGTAATCACTCGTGTGCAAATGAGTCCCTGCGAAATGGTAGCTGCCACCGCCGATTCCGAAGGCAAGATCTTCGTGTGGCGGGATTTTGAGAACCGAGAGACAATGACCAACACGCTTTTCCACTGGCATCACACGGAGGTGACCAGCTTGGCTTTCTCGCCCTCCGGTGTGAGCATATATAGCGGAGGACATGAGTGCGTTCTAGTAAAATGGTCATTGGCCAATCCCGAGAGCCGGAAGTATCTGCCCAGAATGGCCAGTGTTATCCGACACATTGTGGTCAGCAACGACAATGAGAATGTCCTGGTTTGCACGGAGGACAATGCCATTCAGCTGTTGAGTGGCAGCAATAGCATTATCAAATCTACTGTCCAGCACTTTACGTACGAGACTAAGGATAAGACTGGCAACGCCAAGTTCCCTTTGGGTTTACGCCTAAATCCAAGAACCAACACTCTAGTGCTAAATGGCAGAACAGGACATTTGCAGTTCTATTCGGCGTACACCAAGAGTATGCTGTATAACGTAAGTCCACATTTAATTCTTGGCAACGCTGCATGTTAATTGAGATGTATATTCTTCCCAGCTTCGTGTGGTGGACAACAATGTGCTCAGTGAGGAAGCAAACCACATCATCTACAATACGCGAATTACACGGGCAGCCTTCAATATCAACTGGATGGCTACCGGAGAGGTGTACAATGATCTGGAGAACTTTGCCGAAGTGCGTCTTAAGTTTTGGCAGTTTAATGAAAAGTTACAGAGGTATGAATATTAAGGAAACCATACTTTGTAAAATTAATAATTGTTTCATTTTTTCTTGCAGTTACATTCTTAACACAGAGATTGAATTGCCTCACGAACATGGTTTTAAGGCAATAATCTTCTCCAATCAGTTCCAAGTGGATAATTTACAATGTGCCACTGCTGGCGAGGACAACGTAATCAAGATATGGGGCCTTACAGACTCTGAGAACATCTATAGGCGGGGCATCATGTGGAGTTGCCTGGCGCAGACGAGCTACAGGAATCTGCCCATCGGCTCGCTTTGTTTCTCGCAGGATGGCTCACTTTTGGCGGTTGGTTTCGGCAACATTTTGGCGCTGTACGATACCCGGAATCCGCGATTGCCTTTGCAAACTCTGAGCTGTCCTCCTGGCTTAGACGGTGTGATATCCAAAGCGCAGCTGAGATTAGCACAATCACCTTTGAATGGAGCCAGGAAAGAACTAACCCAGCAAAGGCAGCAGTTGTGGGCTCTGCTGAAGACTTTGTTAAATAGCAATGATGAAAAATTGATTCAGCAGGCCAAGGATTTAATAGTGGGTCCTCCTGCCAATGCAAAGCTTGTGAACCAACCGGAAGATACCAGAAAGGAATCCGTATTCAAATACATAATGAAAATGTCCGAACTTGGTTTACATCAGAAATTGCAACTGCTGCGTCGTTTTGGAGTCGAATGCGCGATACCTCATGCCCATCGGAATCGGTTAATGGAGCACCTACAACAAAAGGCCGTGGTTCCACAAACAACAAAGTTGAGACTTCGAAAACTGGACGCTCGGCTGCATCGCCTGCACACGCGACATCGTTATAAAGCCAAACAGCGACTTGGTGATTTGTGTAAAAGGCGACAGAACTTCGAGGACCTTGTACCGGAGGATGTTATGTCTCTGTTCAGCGTTCTCAAGCTGGACGAGAGCAGTAAACCTAAAAAGGAGGAAAAGATCAAAACCAAGCAGAATGTCAGTGGCAAAGTTAACCAGAATGCAAAGAGAATTCCCGCCAAGGCGGCGCCTCTGCAGGGATTGGCGCAGATTTCACAAGTGCAATTCGGAGCCGGGGATCAGGCTCATCTAGTGGCGGTCTGCACCGAGTCAAGGGTTCTAATCTGGAATTTACTGACTCTGCGTCTGCAGGCGGGCTTAAAGTTGTCCGTCCGGCAACTGGCCTTTGATCCGCTCACCAATCTAATGGCTGTCATAACAAAAAATGATGAATGTGAGTTTATTTGAATTTCCAATTAACCTTGTGACCCGCTAATTAATTTGCATTACTTTTTATGATTTAGTGCACGTTTTCCAACCAAATGTTCCGTTGCCTCTGTATCAGCGCAGTAATCTGCCGAAAACCCATGGATTAGCTTGGTTGCCCAGGAGGCAGCCGAAGCAGAGCTCCATCAATGTGGACTGGCAGGCACAATCCACGCTGCTGATGCTAACACACTCGCAGGAGATTGCGTACTTGGCGTTACCGGGTCAGAGTCCATCGGATGATGCGCCAGCACCGATAAGTTTTGCCCAGACCGACGCCACGGAAAATATCCTGAAGCACGCGACATTCGGCATCCACGTGACAAAGAAACAGCCAGTTTCTACTGAAACTCTGGACAAGAGTGGCCCTTTGATCGTGAGAGGAGGAGAACATAGTGCCGTCAATGCGGTAAGCTTTATTTATTCGTTTATTTTATGCGGTTAGCTTGGTTAAAGTTATATACACTTTTCGAATGATCTCTTATTAAGCACATTAACTGGTCAAATTGTAGTTTCCAATTGTATGCAGATACATATAAATTCGTTTAGAGTTCTTTTAGTCGTTTTATTGAAATCTTACATATCTATGAAGTACAATTGGTTAGACTTATTATTAGTTCAGAAGTAATATAATAATTGGTATATATTTGGTTTAGCTTTGGTCTGGTTTAGAAATCCTTTAAAAACATCAAATTCAATTGATCTTGTTGCTCAGTCGTTTTGAGTATTGACGGTGATTGTCTATGGGCCGGATACTATTTCTTCTTGCGCTTGAGGACATCGCCCAGTCGCGGCGCCGTAGGGACTCGCAGATGGCGACAGCGACGCATCATCAGGACATCGTGCTTAAAGTAGCGTAGACAGTGCCATTGGGGAACCTTGGGCATCAGTTGTTGGTGCTAAAAAAGCGATAAAATTCGAACATTTTAAGTTAATTAAAAACTACCAAGTGCTAAGAAGATTCAAATGCAGTGCTTTTTAAAGAAGGTGTTGTATGAAAGAGGTTTCTTGTTGGTTATATCTAAAATCTTAAAAACTCTGACGTCGCTTCGTTTTGTCGTCACTATCTTTTGTCCCTTATATTTTTTAGTTTTGCAGTTCTTTTGTGTTTTTCTGTCTGCGCCCAACTGGCGTTCAACTCAATTTGAATAATTGCCATTGAGATTTATAACGCAGTTTTTCCAAAGCGTGTTTTATTTTTGGATCCGCCTTTCAATTGTGTCTTAGCTTAGGACGTGTGCAAATCATGTGAGTTATATCAGCTTAGCAACTATATAATCTGCTGTTTAGTATCTTGTAGTTAAGGATTTTGGGATAGGTCTGCGCGTGGTGAAATTATAGAGCTGGATATGTGTTATCACATGATTCCTTAAGAAAGTGAGAAGATGATAATCCAAAAATATTGTATAATATTCAAGTAATCAGCTGAACTTGACTCCTCCAATTTGGGGGTATTCCTTTCCAAAGATCATTCCAGTAATCAGTTATTTTTATACTTAAATAATTACTTTGTTTATTCTATCAAGGGTCAAGTCTTCATGGGCATTGATAAGTGGTAGGTTCCATATGGAATATTATATAAACGGCTGTCGCCTATAGGAAGTTTTGCTGATCATTGAAACGAAAGCTTTGCCTTCCATCTATATTTAGTTGAAGAGATTAAGTACACCCGCCGCAAACGTGTGCGACAAACAAGGTTTGTTATTTTACAAATTTTAATTGTATAAGGGCAATAAGGTTATTAATGTTTTGAAATGATGTAGGTCTAACCAGGTGTAGTAGCGAGCTTCACGTTTTGACAATAGTCGTATATTTATTAAGAAACCTTGAACTGATCCGTTTAGGAACAAATTTGGAATTTTTAAAACAGTATACAAATATAGGGTCTAAATATAAAATAGTTGAGCTAAAGAACATAGCGCTTAACGCGAGTTGTATTTTCTTTTTAAATCTTTAAAAATTGTAAAAGTAGGGTCTGGAATTCGAATTCAAATTTATGTTAATTGGTATGACTAAAGCTATACTTCCTGTATAATATTTCCCCTTTTATGGTTATATTCCCCCGCTGTTTTCAATTCGAAAGCAATCTTTTAATTAAGAGTGCACTTTGTTTTTCTCGCGATACTCGACGCCCACTTTTAATTAGCGAGTTTGCACTTCCTGCACACTGCAGCTGGCAGCCATTTTATTTTGGTGTGCTAGTGAAGTCATTGCCCCAAATTCGTGCCCCCTGCTGTACTTGTACTCCTTTTCCGTGTCATCCACTCACCTCATTCACAATTGGCACAGGTCCAGCTTTTGCCCAAGCAAAGAATGCAAGGCACAGCAGGGAAATGACGGCTACAAAGTTGGGCCACATTTTCCGATTTTCCGGATCCGAAATGCGGGCGAGGAAAGTTCTTTTCTTTAGAGTTCTTCGACTGCACACTGCACTGTGCAAAATGTAGTTTGTTTGTATTTTTTTATTGGGTCGTAAATCGTTTAATCTGGATTTTGGCACTTTGTCAGTTGCAGGAGAGGATGAACTTTTGTCCGCCTTTATTTCCGTAAACTTTAGCGGCACGCGCTTCCGGCTCTCTGTTTTCCGGCTAACGGTTGTTGCTGCGAAACACAACGGTAAAATGTTGAGCTGGAGCCGCGACTCTCGGCAATTTATACTCGCAGCTCCAGACTTCGGCTTCGGATTTGCACTTCGGCACGGGCATTGGGGTTCGGGCATGGGGCTTCCGCTCTCCGCAATTCTTCGTTTTGTTATTATTTTTGCGGGCAGAGCACGCTCTCTTGTGCTCTTTGGTCTTGTGGCTTGTGCACTTGCCAGCGCTCATTGTGAATGGACAACGAGGGGCTGGTGCAAGCGCACCGCCGCCCACCGCTGCACAGTGGGATAGAAAGCTAAAGGTTTAGTTAAAAAAAAGGAAAGGGAAACTGAGATTGCTTAGGCTTATACAATTTTTAACCATTAATATTCATTGGGCTTTTGGGTATTTATTATATAAGAAGGCATAATTAAAACTTATCTGGAATATATTTCTATTTCCATTTCCTTTTCTTTTCCATTTTCCTCTGTGAGGTCCTCTTATTTAAATTGTCACTGTGCTATAGAGCGGAATTCTCCCCCTTTTTCCACCCAGCCATTGTCCCCCCAATTTATTGTTTATGCGTGTGGCGAGCATTTTCCGTTGCGTGCTCGTGACACTTTAGTTTTCCCCAATAATACTCGATTACGCTGGGCCAATAATTAAAATCGCTTTGTTCGCTGTGGTAAATTTTCCCGACACTGTTGTTGCTACGTGCAATATTGTACTTGCCATAATTACTTTCGCCAATTACAATATTTTTCGAGGGTTTATACTGGTTTTAGTCGGTTGCAGAAAATGAATTCAATTCTGTATTCTGACTTATCGCAACTGAATCACATTGAGTCATCAGTTAGTGTCTTCTCCAGGGAAAAACAATTATATTTTGGAAATTGCCACTCAACAAATTGACAGACATGTTTGCACTTGGATTGTTTTTACCGATTTCGTTTAGTTTGCAATAAAATGGATCAACAATATCCACGGGCAAAAAGCGCATGCGCGAAGGTTAATAGAGACGCGGCACTCGACGCATTTAAAAGACGCTCAGCAATGACAAAACAGAAACCGAAATATTATCATGTGATTACTATTGTCCAGCGCTGAACTTGAACCGCAATCTCGACACCCAAAAAAATCCGAATAGTATTAAGTGCGGACGCCTCTGAATAGTGTTGCGTATTTAGCTTTATTTATGTTTGTACGGGAGTCTTAAAATATTTTATAATAGAATATTTAGGAAAAATCTTTAATAATAACTTGGCTTTATATAATAATACCTTGCTAAAAATCTAAGCAACTGTTTGTTTTGTACTATTTAAACAGGTAGATTACAAAATTTAGTCTAGTCATTTTGGCACCCGAAAATCGGGCATCACAGTCACTACTAACACAATTTTGAACTTCAGCAAGGTCAATGTCAATTAATGTTTTTTTTTTCTTTATTACAGTTTGTCAATCTGTCCGCCCACACGATGCCTGCCATGAGCCTGATTTGTGGTGAATTTGTGAAATCGCTGCTGATTGCGGCGGATTCTGCTTCAAGGCACTCCTCGGCAGCCAAAGGAGATGCCCCAGTGACCAATGGTGGAGCCGTGAATGGCAATGGGTTGTCACACGAGTACAGTGACGAGGAGCTGGAGGAGGAAGACCGGGAGGAGGGTGAAGTGACCATTAGTCCATATGATACCCGGAAAACGCTGCTGGCGGAAAATGAAAGGCTTGAGGATCTGCCAACCGAAGGAGAAACCGATCAGCAGGCCTTGGATAATCGATTAAAGACCATCTCCACACTAAAAACAAAACTAAGGTTATGAATGTAAACAATTCAATTAGTTGTTCTTAAAAAAATTAAATTCTTTTATTTTTGTATAAGACAAAAGTTATTAAAAAGCATATTGCAAAGAGATTTATGTTTTCTTACTGAAGTATCGGGAGTACCTATAAATAGGATTCGAATAATTGTTTACACTTACCAACACAAAAATTGTGTATTTTTCCTAAAACTAATGACTTTGACTTTTATTTTCACAATGCTTACATAAGATAAAAAGATAATCAAATATTTATTATTAATTTAAAGGAAACGTCGGCGTGGTATTAAACCCGCATGGGACAGCACATTGTAAATTTCCATGCGTGGAATTTTCTCGGCTTGTCTGTCATAAACCTACAGAAGAATTAAATTAAATTAATATATTAAGTGAATTTAAAGAGACTTAGAATGAATTTGATGAGGATTTTCTCTATGTTATGGTTGCTACTTCTTAATAATATTCCAATATTCTAAGTAAGCATTGTGTTTATGAAGTATTGAGATGTTTATGGAACTTACCACCTCCTCGCCAGGTCCGAACCAACTGGATCTGGCCAGGGCATCCCTCACCCTGGGCGTATTGTAGAAGGGGTTCTGGAACTGCTGGGGGAGCGTCTTCTCCCAGGCGGCGTTCTCCACCACCGCAATGTGCTGCAGATTCCTTTGGGGCCTGGCCTCCACACTTACAAAAAAGAGACCCCACATCATCACAATAAAGGCTGACCAAATGAAACGACCGGGCAGGAGGCACCTTGAATGACAGAGGAGAAGAGGATCACGCCTCGTTGAGTTCGGCTGACTGACAGATTCCACTTGCTCGGCTTAAGGTATTATCACGATGATCATTACATAATTGTGGCGTGCATATAATATTACAAGTTTCCGCCTGTCACGCACACACACGCATGCTCCCCTTGCCCCCTTTTCCCCGTTCCCAGCCCCCCGAATCCAGTCCACGCCTAAATGACCGCTTTTCACTCTCGGGAGCCCGGGACAACTTGTTGGCCAAGTCAGCTGACTGGGCTTCCACAAGGGGGACCGTGTTGGCCACTTGACTGAATATATCTCACAGTCAAGCTACCAAAAAGTGAACAAAGAATTTTATAAATATTTTAGTTAAATATTTTTTGAGATTATAAAGTCATGATTAACATTCATAGTGTTTGCATTTAAACCAACCCAAAATGGTTTCTTTACACTTTATTATTATTATTATTAATTTGTACGATTTTTAATACAGAAAATATTTTAATTTATTATTTTAAATATTTTTTTTAATTTTTACTGACGGTTTTTTTTTATATTTTGTTCGATTTCTTTGCCGTGGCAAAACTCGGTTGTCATGCGTCTCCCATTTCCTCGATGTCGCGTGCTGTGAGGAGAAAAACTGTGCTGCAAATACATTTTCCAGCGTCATGCGTCTGCTGGTCGGTTGGTTTGTTGGTTTGTGCGGCCCACTTTGGTTGCAAAAAGATCCCTGATCTTTGCTTTTAATTGGATAACCGGCAGTGACGACCGCTTGCCGGTTGTTTCTGGCCGATGATGTAAGTTTTGGACTTGATATTGCCACTTGCGGCACTTGCAATTCGCATTATCTGCCTGGCAGTTTGTCTGCCTCGAAGCCCTTCGGTCAACCTGCTAACTCATGGTTTTCCGACGGTTCATGGCATTTTATAAGGCGTACCGATAGCCAAGCTGGGCTTGATAATGAGATTTTCATTCAGTTAAACATGAGGGGAAATTGTATGATGCAACTTCAAAGGCTGAAAGCTTACTTAGTAATAAGACCCTTAAGAAAAATATCTCGAGCTTTTAGTAATAGATACCCTTAAGAGAAATACCTCACGTTTTTAGTAATAAGTACCCTTAAAAAAAAAACTCGAGCTTGCAATGTAAAGTTACAGATTTTGCTGGTAATGCTTCCCAGATATAAGGTTTGATTTCTCCCCCACATATTTTGTAGTTCACTGACCCACGCACTTTGGGGATACCATTTTTTGGCCCCACCGCGATCACACCCAAAGTGATGTCCAATCGGCTGTTGAATGCATTTCGCCTTCGGTTGCTATCCAAGCCGTTTTTAACCGGCCATCTTATGCAATTCTGGCGCTTTGCGCATGCGCAAAAGACTGCAGCCTTCCCAGTCAAAAATGTGTTGGCATTTTCAGGTTTTCGTGCTTATTTTGTATATTCGAGCCGGGCAATTGTTGCTGGGACGACGGCTACTTACTTACGATCTGCAACTACATACGAGACTTGTTGTTGGGTCTGATTAGGTCAATGGAATCCAATTGGCGTCAACGTCGCGTCGCTGCAGTTTTCGCTTTTCCACAGAGACTTGCAAACATACATATGTACTCAAACATATAGTACTTCGCTCCATTCCATTCCAGCATTCCCAATTTGGGTCATGTGGTTAATTGACAAAGATTGACGTATTGTGTATTATTGTTATGCTACAACGTCCACAAATTTGTTTATACTATTTTGCATACAATGAGGAAATATGCTCCACGCATCTGATACACTTTCGTGTTTTCCCCGATTGAGTGGGATCAAGAAACTGGGTCCGAGAATTGGGCTGAATGGCTACTGTTATTGGGTGAAAGGTCGCAGGAACCTTGATACGAAAAAACTGGAGCCGAAAACAGAGATGATATAAAAAAAACCCACTTTGCACTTGACGCTCATTACAAGTTGAGCCGGCAAATGAAGCAAGTGATCGTTAAATTTCGAAAGTGTGAACTTTTTAAACCGTTTCAAGGTTGCCTTTATTTTATGCACATTTCATTTCCCCATGAAGTTTTTAATTAAGCGTCTTGTATTACATGTTATTCTTTGTGTTATTTTTGAGGGCATTTTGCAATATTGTAATTAAAATACTTAAGCCTGCTGTTTTAATGTTGATTACCCAAAAAAGGCTCTCAGTTAGCTTTTTGTAAGTTTTTAATTATAAATCCTACTAATTTCACAATACTTTCAACTAATTGTAAAACTCACTTGTAATTAAATTAGTATTCAATAATGCCCATATAGAAATTTCATAATATTCACCACTGGAAAACTGTGTCAGCTTATTTGAGCACGTACTACTGAAAGTTAACTACTTTGTCCGCCCCCCGGCACGCCCACCCCCAACTGCCACGCCCCTTTTCAACATTTGCGGTCAATATTGATATGCGGTCATTGTGGATCATATTTATTAGCCAAATGGCGCAAGTGGGCGAAGCATTTGGCATTTGTTTTGGATCTTCAAGCGAGTTAATTGAAAATACTGCACAGCATGACAATCGTAACAGTTTTTTTTTTTGATATTGCATTATTGTTATTATTTTTAGGGTTTATCATGGTTGGGTTTCATGAGTTCCGTTTGGTTTTAAGTAACGCTTCTTCTTGGACATTTTTGGGCATTTGTTAAAAAAACGTGACCGTTAAACTAAATTATGTGTTGAGTACACAAGTCGTTGAATTTTATTATAGATTTTATGCTTGTCAGTCAGTGTTGCCGACTTTACCATATTGTTGTAGTTGCTGTTGGTCTTGTGATAGGTCAAGTTGTTTATGGTTTTTTTTTTGTTAAGGTTTTTGTTGTTCAAATGGTTTTTGTCACAGTTTTTCTTGACTCATTTTGGTGGCAACCGCATCGAATTTTTAAATTATGCTGTGGGACCCACGCTGTGTTTATGCTTAAAAATTGTGCAATTTTTTCTGGAGATCATAATAACTATTGTGCAACTATTATGCAAATATTCAATACATAGTTTTAAAATTCTATAAAATTTGAGAAACTTGTTAAAATTCCACCAATTTCATTAAATGTTTCACAAGCTTAAATATTTTAAACAGAATTCACAAACTATTAAACGCATTTTTTTAAACTCACATTTTGTAAGTCTGATAACACTCGGAATTTTATCAAAACCTTTTTTTATTATCAAGGATCACAAAGACCGCTTAGGATTTGAAGACCCGCGAACAGTTGTTGATTTGAGCGCGGCCAATTGGCAACTGAATTTAAGTTTAAGCCAACCAACAGACAGCGACTGGCCGAAACCGCAGATCGGATCGGTTGGCAGGTTTTGGACACAACTTGAAAGTTTTCAAAACTGAAAAAAGAGAAGCTAAACGAAAATGAAAACGAAAACTCAACGAAGCATGCGACAAAAGCTGAGAAAAGCTGGGGTTGAGGGTTTCGCTTCTATGTTATTTGGCCCTTTAATTAGATTTTGGAAATGATTTTCCACGAAAATTAACATACAATAATTCACTTTCTATTGTATAATATTTTTAAAAAGAAAACAAAAGAAATATTATAAATTTAGTACGTTTAATAATTATAAGAAGTATTTACAATGCTGATTATTTGATTTTATTATTACTCCTTCAAAACAAAATTATCCACAAAATCCTGAATCATATCTATCATGCGATTCCTGTACAACTCATCTGTGTTGAAGGCCTCCAGACAAATCTCAATCCGTTTCTTGCTAAAGAAATCACTGAAACCATCCGCAGAACTGGTTAATTTCTGGGTGCAGGATGGTGGCAGCATCACCAAATGGCAGAACAAACAGCTCTCGATCAGCCCAACACTCCGGAATTCCTCCACAGATTCGTAGAAACTCTGCTCTGGTAAATAGCGAGCTATATCCAAATCAGCTCGCTTCAGGAACTCCGTCATAAAGCGATAATATTCCGCCAGAAGTTCACTCAAATGGGCCTCTCTAAATGCCTTTGAAGTTGGAATTGAAAGGACTGTAATGACATCGATGATAGGAGGAGCATATCTGGCCAGCTGGAAGTCCACAAGACGACACTGCAAAGGACTCTCGCCGTACTTTCCATACTGGAACATTATGTTATTGGCCCACAAATCACCATGAACTAAAGTATTCTGATACTTTGTTGAAGTTTTAACAGCCTCGAAAACAAAGGACATCCTTTTGGTAAAGTTCTCCAAAATAAAGTCCAACTTTGACTGATACTTGGGCATCAGTTTGATAAATTCCTTGGCCACTTCGCAGGCATTTTGGAAGTTCACAACCCTCAGATGATCCGGCTTAAAATTAGTGGGATAGGCGTTCTCCACAACCGATTTTGGATGCGATTCAGTTAGTTTTTGGCCAGTTCTGTGCTCATGAATAATGGAACCCGCATGCAAGGCAGCCAAGGTTTTCAGACAACAATGGAGTTGTTCGTAGGATAGTAAGCCATCTCGTTCAGCTCCCATTCGATATCCCTGATCGGCGAGGTTCTCGAAAACCAGCAGATTCTTATCCGCATAATAGCACTTGGGTGCCACTTCGGCACAGGCCTTTTGAAGTTCGGGAAGTACTTGCTGATATACGGCGATTTCCTTTTGGAACACACCGAAATCCTCCAGATATTCCATTCGCGAGGCATTATCCGTGGGTGCTGATTTCGAAAAGAATCTTATCTGCTTGATTTCCTCGGAAGTGTGAAGTTGCAGAGTAACTTGAAGGTAGAAGTGGCTTCCCAAATATCCAGCCGGTGCATCCGAGGTGGGTTTCAACTGATAGCTGACTATATCGAATCCCAAATCCGATTTGAGATCCTGGTGCAAGTATCGCTGGCACAGGCCGCGAATCTCGGTGGGGCTAAGTTCCAGTGCGGTTGCCATCTTGAAATCAACTGTTTGGATTTTTGGGCATGGCGTTAACCCTATTTATACCATATTCCACCAGACTGCTGTAAATTGTCCAGAGATAAAGAAGATACAGTAGGTGAGCAATTTAACGGGGGAAACAGCCACTTGAAAAGCGTTAACTGAAATCTCCCTCATATTTATTTGCTTATGGGCTAGACTGCGGATAAAAAAATTAGGGGAAAGCTTTTGGGGGTTAGGGAAATCAGGCGTTTGTCGGATGAGAACAAAAGCAAATGATGGAATTATTTTATTATAGTTCGAAATCAATTTTGAACACTTGTTACATTTAAAGTTCTTATGAATAAGTAATTGATTACAAATGGTAATAACACAGAATAATAAATATTATTCATCGTTAAAAATTGTAACCTCCGAAAAGTTTTTTGGGTTAAACTTTTTTGTAAACCCACAACGATATTGTTGTACTAAGCAAACAGATAACTTACCTACGCAAGCCACTCACACTTCCCAGTTGGCAACTAATTGCCAGGATTTATAGGAGATATAACTTATCAAATAAACTGTGACTTAAGGCGCTGTTTGTTTGGGGTAAACAGAGTTTATTTCGCCTAAAACTAATGCCCAGGTAAATGTTTATTTAATTCCCGGATACTTGCGTGTTAAATGTCTGGGAAAATTGGCAGCTGTTGGGAATTAAGCGAGATGGATAACCGAATTGTGTCATTAGTTAAGGGATATAGTTTTAGTTACAGAGGCCAAACAAATTAGTCACAGACTGGACCTCAGAGTGACCACAATCAGAATGAGATTTAGCCGAATTATAGAGGAGTATCTGAAGAACTCCACTTTGCATGGAGCTCGGTTTATTGTGGACAAGGATGCCAGTTGGATTGAGCGCATCTTTTGGGTTATTTGTTTGGTGGCCTCTTGGTACGCCTCCTGGTTGCTTATCAAAGCCTCGTTAAGTGAGTGACCGGAGATAAAGGTAATCTCTTTGATGCTACCAAATAACCTGGCATTACCTTTCAGGTGCCTTTGAAAACAATGCCATCAGCTTTGTGGTGGAGAGTTCGTTTCGCGACTGGAATACCAATTTTCCAGCTATTATAGTCTGCGAATCAAAGAATATGGATAGGATTCAGGAGGTTGCTGAACAGTATGTTTTAAGATTAAATTTCAGGGATAATATATAGCATTTATTACGTTAATAATTTTATTATTAATTTGAAATTCTTCTGTGTAACTAAATTTTACAATATTATTTCAGACTTTGGGGCGCTGACCACGACTTCACTTTGGAGGAGGTCCTTAGTGAAATTGCCTTTTTCCGAGGGGAATCCTATCACACAGTCCATGAATGCAGTGGCGAGGAGGTGACCACTTCATGTTTCTACTCAAATTTCTCGTATTATGCCGAACTGGTTAGAAGCAGTTGTGTGGACTCAATTAGCAATTGCGAGTGGAATAATAAACCATTTGAGTGCTGCAAGTACTTTCATCGCATGGAAACTGAACTCGGAATTTGCTATGCCATTAATTCTCTGCAAGCCGGGTGTGTAAATAAATAATTTAAAATTTATTAATAAATAAAGGTTTTTTTGCTCTTTTCAGAAAACCCAAAAGTCCCAAATTGAATATGTATTCAAATCGAGATAGTGGGCCTGGCACTTTGAAAATGGAATTGCATACAGAGGCTACGGTAAGTGTAAAATAAATAAAATTCGGTAAATAAACTAGAACACTAAAAAGATATAAGAACAATATTTTTTAATTTTTCTACCTAAAAGTGTGCTTTCTTTATTTAAAAGCTCTTTAACCTAATTATAAAGTGGTATTGATTTTTATTTTAATTAGGTTTTTATACTTGGCACTGAAGAGGTGCCCACATTGGTTACCCCAAAAACGGATTTTCTAGTGGTGGGACCCTATATATCCTTTGTGTAAGTTATCTTTAAAGAATATACAGGTTTTTTGATATTATTTAATTTAATTTTGTAGAAGATATATTTCCAAGCGAGACATTGAAAATGATGAAGAGATCCGGCAGACGAGTGTGCATCAGAGGAACTGTCGTTTTGCAGATGAAAATATCCTGGATGTTCACAAGTTCTATAGCTATAGTGCCTGCACGGTTCAATGTCGCAAGGATCGGCAAATGGAGTTGTGCAACTGCTCCAGTCACCTGTCCCCAAATTCCCCCGATTGGCAGCTTTGCAACATGGATGGCTTGGAATGCCTGAATCGCAATTACGAAGATCTCTCGGTAATTATTGCCAAATGGTCAAAACGTCGCGGTCGAAAGGGTTTAGTTTGCGATTGTCTGCCATCCTGTACGGAGGTGGATATCACCACAGTTTATGACAGCAAGGAAAATCTGGTGGGAAATCAGAATCCAGTCTCCCGAATTGAATTGGGTCTTATTGAATTGCCCACAGAAAGATATAAAAGGAATTTAGTGAGAGGAAAATTGGATTTGGTGGGTGAGTTAAATTATTTATAAATAATTTTATATAGACTTTAAATTTAAATTCTTTTAGTATCCATTGGTGGCACCACCGGCTTGTTTGTGGGTGCCAGTCTTCTCAGTTTTGTGGAGATTTTCTATTACATAACCATTCGTCCTTATACCACTTATATGAACGAAAAACAACGACTAAAACGTTTAATTTTACCTGAAAGATTTCATAAGAATTAAGTTAGGAAAGCAGGTATTGCTTTTCTAAAGAAGTATATCTTATTACAATCATGTATTATTTTACTGTATGCAAAAAAAGAAAAACTATATTCTTTAGTTGCTTATCTAACTTGTTATCCACAAAAATGCATATAATAAAGCTTTCTTTTCGTAACTCATTAAGGAATAAGACCCCACTTTGTATAAAAAATACACCCTTACCTAAATCTTATCACTCCGATAAGAAAAATAGTTTTCAACTACTCTTACAAACTACAGCTGTTCAGTCAAAAGATCTGTTCGTGAGAAAATAAAAACAGAGCGAAATTCTATTTTTGCTCAGTTGTGCACGGTTGACAGATGCAGCTATTTGGCTGAGTGAAAATTGTCGGGAAAACTGTCTCAGTCTAGTCGGCTTTCTAGAAGAAAAGAGAGGGAGAGATCGCGATCGAACGTATACGTAATACGCCCACATTACGTATACGCAACATAATGCTTTGCCGACAAGATTGCGAGAAAATGTTGGAAAATGCTCAAAGGTGTGCCGAAAAAGCTAATCTAATAGACTTTAGTGTCGTCAGAGACCTCAGTGCAATCGGTTATCTGGGGGATTACTATGCACTAACTTTAAGATATTGCTATGTAAGTATGATCTTGACTTTGTAAAGTTGGTATCTTCGTTACAGATTATGGCTTAATTTAAGGCACAATAAAAAATAAGGTTAAGCGTGAAGATAGAGAATTCGTTAGAAATTTGTTGTATATTTTGTAATACGCTTCTAACTTAAAACATTCAATGTCAACTATTTTTTACATTTAAAAACGAAGCTTTCTTTATTATATACATTTTCTTAATAATAATGATTGTTTTTGATTATTACAAACCTGTTTTAAATGCTTATCAATTTTTTATCTATTGCTTGTACTTAGTATTTATTTGAGACCTATTCGTATATCACCTCTAGAGTGATTAATTGAAATCAATAGATAACCATTGTACATGGAAATGTAAAATATATTTTACATGCTTCCCTTCTTTAACTAAATAATATACCCTACTTTTAGGAGAAAGACGAAGTCGTGAGGGAAATGCAACTCTTTGTGAAGGCTTTGCCACAGCAAAGTGCTGAAGTTTCCAAAGAGCAAATTTTTGAAAAAGAAGCCTGGCTTTACGACACTCTTTTAAAGAAAATGCAGTCACTTTGTAAGTTAAATATTTTCTTTTGAATTATAAGAACAACTACATTTATTTTTGCAGCTAACATAAAATGGTGTCCTGATTGCGTTTACACTCGAAATGATTTAATAGTCCTGGAAAACATCAAACTGAAAGGTTTCAGAGCAGCTGAGTCTACAGAACTTGATGAAGTGAATTTGGATCAATTGATAAAATCAATGGCATCGTTTCATGCTGCTAGTTTGGTGTGCGAACATCAAACCGAAACCAAAATAGTGCAGGCCTATGGGGATCGTTTGATAGAGGTCTCTGTAGCCCCGGAAATAGCCTGGTTTACCACAGGACTCTTAGCTGTTCTGGCTGCCGTACGAAGTCTTCCCCAATATCAGGGTAATAGGGAACTATCTTTTATTGATAACAAACTTCTTTCTATTATGCAAGAAATCTACGAGCAAGCTGCTCCATCGAAGAAGTTTAGAAATGTCCTTTGCCATCGAGATCTTTGGGCGGGTAATATTCTTTTTCCTCCAGAAAAATCTGAACCCGCTTTACTAATAGATTTTCAAACCTGTCGCTACAATCCGCCAGCATTAGATTTAAATTATAGCCTTCATATGAATCTAAGTTCAAAGAATCGCAAGAAAATGGAAGGGAAATGCATTGATTTATACCACAATTATTTGTTGCAAAATCTCTGCGATTTTAACCTAAAAGATTTAGTGATTGAAAAGTCAGAGCTTCTTCATTCCTACGAAGAATTTCGTTTATTTGGAGTGATCTATAGAGCTGTTGCTGCCACGGTTGTAAAAGTTCCTATTGAATTTGTGACGAATGAATTCAAGTATGTGGATCGCAGAAAAGTGATCCTATCCTATATGAAAACCAACGAGAATTTTAGAGCCTACATGGAGGAGTGCTGTGTGGATGTCATGGAAATGGCCTTAACCAGGGCCAACATGTGATGAAATCTAGTATCGCAAGACCGCCGATAAGGAAGAGTTCCATGAGCTGCTCAATAAAGCGATAAGAAGTCATTGTAAATAAAACTAAAATAATAAAAAATTTTAAGCTGCACCCAAATACTCTTCTTTTAATAAAGAGTAAGAAAGAATATATTTTTAAGACGCAAATTTAAATAAAACAATAGGTGATCGTAATTTATGGTATTCTGCAAGATTGTATTAAAATATATCTTGCTTCTGGTATAAAATTACTAGATAATGCTGAGCAAGTAAGACGCTCTTTTCACATTTCTTTGATAACCCAATTTTGTAGGGTAAATCCACTCACTATAATTTTCAAAGCCAACTGAAAATGAACTCAGTTGCAAACAAACACCCGAGAGGTTCAATCGTTAAAGGTGATTTAAAATTAGAGTTCATAAAATGAGTAATGGTGATTATAACCCCATATTAACGCGAAAAAATCGTACTGAACTATTTACTATTGATGAGTGCAAGGAGATTTTAGACAATTTATTGGCCGATAACAACGAGCAAGGGGTTTTAATTAATTTTGAAATAAAGCCGGCCACTGAACATGTGGGTTTCTTGGGTGAATACTTTCACTTGTACCTCCGCTATCAGTTGAATAATCAGAAATATGAACAAACCTCTCGATTGTTTGTCAAGTCGGTAATCTTTCAAAATGCCAATATGGAATTCTATATGGAGAAAATGGGGCTCATTAAAAAGGAGATAAAGCTTTATGAATTGTTGTTAAACAAATTGAAGAAGTTTTGTAAGTATTTATTTTGTTCAAATGGAATAAATAATTATTTTTTGTTTTGAAGCTTCCCATGTTTGGTGTGCCAAATGCTATTTTACTCGCAATGATTTGTTTGTAATGCAAAATGTAGAGGATATGGGCTATGTGGCTTTGCCCTCGGGAACTCGCTTTCTAAGTGAAAATCAACTGAGTCCCATTCTGAAATCCTTGGCCACTTTGCATGCTAGTAGTATTGCCTACGAAAAAGAGCAGGGAAAAACAATTGGAGTCGAGTTTAGGGAGTCCCTGAAAGAAATCTCCGTAGATCCGGATGTTGAATGGTACACCACGGGTTTAAGGGTATGTAGATAATTTTTCTCATTGTTTATATCTTATATTGTTTATTTATACAGGCTGTTTTGGCGGTAACTGCCACTCATCCTGATGTAAGGGATTCTGCTGAAGCCCAGGAATTCATAGCCAAGGAGCTGCCCAGAATTTTGGATAGGGTTTACTATATGGTTAATCCCTCGCCAGTTCATCGGAATGTTTTTGTGCATCGCGATGCCTGGGGAGCTAATGTCTTCTATCACAAGGAGCAGCCTGAAGAGAAAAGATCTATTCTGGTGGACTTCCAACTTTGCAGATATGCTCCACCTGCCACGGACTTTCATTTGGCAACCTTTCTTAATCTGGAACCCAAAAATCGTAAAAAAATGATGGATCAACTGATCCATACTTATTATAATGCACTGACTGAAGAACTCCTAGAAATGGGCATCGATGCCGATCGGAAACAACTTAGCAAACAGGAATTTGAGCAATCTCTGAAGGACTTTGCTTTATTTGGAGTGACCTACAATTGCATAGCTGCCACTATTCTCCGTCTGCCCGATAATTATCTGAAAAACTTGAAGGACGAACGCCCAGCGGATTTTCATCGGTTTTGCAATGTGGATCGCACGGAGGATGTTCTGCGTTTGATGAAAGATTATCCAGAATTTGCTGATTATATGTACGAATGTGTGGGCGATTTATTGGAACTGACATATCATAAACAGAACTGATTAAACGTCATTATCTCGCACTCACTATCTTTTGCTGTTCCCCTGGTAACACTCGGAAACCTATCAGTTTTCGTCTGGTTTCTCTGTTTACACATCTGTACTCTCACGAGATTATCTTATCACTCAAACTATATGATGTTGGTTGGTTCATTAGTTGGGGTATATGGACTTTATAAACTAATTTGCCATCTTGTATTGGTGATTGGATAATTGTTCTTAATTTCGCGCATTTATAATGATCAAATCAGGGTGAAATTAAAAAGTTAATAAATCAAACAATTTTTTAGGGTATTAATAAACCCTATGATCTTGGATGAAATAGAAAAAAAGCTTTCCTAATTTACTCTCTGCTAAGGTTATTAAGGTTATCTTTTCCCACAAAATCTCACGAATATATTTTAGAGGGCCAGCTTTAGCTTTTTCAAACGTTTCAGTAACAATTTAGAAGTGAAGTGAACAGCATCTTTTATTTTTTATAAAAAATGGAACTCCTTAATTTAGAAGAACTTGTGCTTATATCCCAGAGAACTCTACCTGGAATAGATAAATCCCATCTGATACTCCTAAACTCGCAGTTAGAAGCAGGTTCTACTGATTTGATGGGTTACATGGGAGAGTACTACAAGTTGCAACTGGAAGTCGAGGATATAAAGGAACCCAAGAAATATCTTCTTAAATATTTTATCAAAAGTTTGCCAATCAAAAATGAGCCACAGAGAGAAGAATGCGAACGCAAAGGAGTTTTTCAGAAAGAATCTGCCATTTACAGCCAGATGTTACCTAACATTCAGAAATATGGTAAAATTACAAATTTACCTATATATTTTGTAAAATATATTTTTTATTAAGATAATATTTCTACATTTGTTTAGCCTCTAAGAAGCTTTTTCCCAGATGCTATTACAGTCGAAATGATATTTTGGTGCTGGAGGATCTCACTCAAAACTATAGACATCTTAAGACTTCAGAAAGTTATACCATAGATCACTATAAACTGGTTTTGGAACACCTAGCTGATTTACATGCGGCAAGTATTGCTTGGGAAGAAAAAGAACATTTAAATATTGAAGAACGCTTTAACGATGTACTTACTGAATTGCATTTGGATCCTGATAATTCCTGGTACATAAGTGGATTGAAGGTTAGTAAATGGGATTTAAAAAAAAGCTTACCAAAATAATGTATTTAAACATTTTTTAGGCCATTGTATTCTTAGCAGGCCGTCACCCGGAATATCAAACTAAAGAAGCTCAGATATTTATTCAAGATAAGCTTTATAATCTTTTAACCAAAGCTGAAGAGTTGGTAAAACCATCGAAAACAATAAGAAATGTACTATGCCATCGGGATACTTGGGATCGTAATATTCTTTATCATTTTAAGGAAGATACTTCTGTTTTACCCGATGCTTGTTGCGTTGTGGATTTCCAAATCGCTAAATACTGTTCTCCCACCTTAGATGTTTTGTTTTTACTCTACATTGTTGCTCCAGATGAAATCAGGAAAAGGATATACGATGAGTGCCTTGAGTTCTATTATAAATCACTCATATCCCATCTCGATCGACTGGGATTGGATAAGAATATTATAACCAGAGAGAACTTTCTCAAAGAATGCCAAAGAACTCGCTTAGCAGCATTGATTATTTGGGCTCTTACTGAACCTCAAACCAAAATGTTGCCCAGTATTTCGAATAGATTGCGATCTGAAGAACCGCAGAAATTCGACTTTTATCTCAACTGCGATCGCAGTGAACTGTTGCTAAGGGTGATGGATATTCAACCCGGTTACGAGGAGACTATAATGAAGCCCATCAAAGAACTTGTGGATTATCTGATGGAGAATGAGAATTTATATACCTAGACAGCTTAGTTGCTATCTGCAGATGAAAGTGGATTTGTTTCTTATCGTTCACTGAACTTATTTAAATAAACAAAGAACTTTAATATCATTTCGAAAAATTTAATTTTATTTGGAACCTATTTGTAGAGAGAGTCGCCTAGCTAGAGTTACGTAAATACTTGGGTAAATTTCGACAAACAATTTAGCTAGCTAGAAAGTTTCAGGCAAACGTGGCTCGAAGCTAGATCATCCCGGAGATCTGCGTAGCAAGTAAATGGTTTCCCCTAAAGTGGATTTCAAAGGCGGCACAAGCTAATCAGTCCAGCAGTCCTCGTCGTCCTCCTCGTCGAAGTCGCGCACATTGAAGTCCTCGTGGAAGAGGTCCTCGCCCTCCTCCTCCGAGGACTCCGACTGTCATCTGTGGCCATTGATGCGCTGCGGCAGACCGACCACGCCCACTCCCTTGGGCGGTCGGGGTATCCGAATACTGGTCGAAGGACCCGCCAAGTTGGACAGCGATCCTGAAGCAGATCCTGCATTGGTTTTTCCCGAAACACTTGGGATTAGTTGGGCATTCAGCATGGTTGTGTGCTCAAAGCAATTGCAGCAGTATTTATCGCATCTTATCAGCAGGATGAGTCCTGCCAGTATCCAGATGACCAATCCCGGCCAGGAATGCACGGCACATTCGCTGAACAGGATCACGCCCATCAGCAAGGACATTCCACAGATCACGGGACTCACGTTGATCACACTGCCCGTATACTTGGGTATGAAACCCATCATAATGGTCACAATAAGGACTCCAATTCCCCCTGTCAAAGCTGCCGGCGCCCAGTGCATCATCAAGCCGGCAATGCAGAGTGCAATTCCCAGCCCAATTACCACAATGGCGAATATGGTCACGCGCCACGAACTCACAGTGGGCACTCGCACACTGCGCTCCAGAGGTCCAGCTGTGGTTACCTTGCAGTAAGAAAAGTAAAGTTTATTAGGAATTAACTACAAATATTAAAGAATAGTTCTCACCTTGATCTTTTCGCGATACTCATCCACAATGGCATCAATGTCCGTTGAGGTGTCCGAATCGCTTTTGTCAAATTTGTCTGGGTATTCAAAATCAGATGGCTGTAATAAAAAATATTTAGAAAATATTAATATTTAAGAATAAATTTAAAAGAAAACACGTCAGCATAGGTTAGATTATATTTATATATAAAGTAAATAAATCGAATCATTTTAATAGGTGTAATACCAAAAATCAAAAACAAAAAAAATAAATTTTTAATGAAATTCCAAAGAATATTGGTCAGAATATAGAATGTCATACCTCATTAAACTCGTAATTAAATTCTGAATGAAATGGCATTCTATCGTAAAGAATTTTTTTTCACAAAATGAAGACTTATTTTTAACCAAATATTAAGAAAAACCCTCAAAGTTTTGATGAACTCACCGGAGGTTCTCCATCGGAGAGAATGGTGGACTCCACATCCCTTCCCTCGCGTTGGGGACACGGCGAAGTGGGTTCGCCCAGGAGCAGCCACTCCTTCTCCAGCTCCTGCTTATTCCTGGGCTTCGTCTTCGGTTTCTTCAGTCCACTGTGCTTGGGAAGACCGATCTTCCAGAGACTCCTCTTCAGGCGACTAGAACTGGAAGTTGCTGCACTGCTGTAACTGCTGCTCTTGGCAATCGGTGCCGTGGACAGACGACTGTACGACAGTGAAGACTCACTGCTGGGCGCCATGAACTTGGGTCTGTAGGGGGTGTAGAGGAGATAAAAGGCCCGAAGGAATGCCCCACCCATGTGACCAGCGGCTAATGTGTAACTCAGATGCTGCAAAGGACACGCGAATGCCAACATGGCACACAGACTGCCGGCAATAAATACAGCCAGAACGGGATTTCCACTCTCCGAGCTCTCGTAACTGATCTGCTTGGAAAGGATCCTCCACTCGGAGGTGGCCAAGCGCACCACAATGCCATAAAGTTCTGGGAATAGCTCCAAAAAAGCCGCCGAACTTGTGAGTAGCAACATGCAAGCCGAGGCGGGCACCAACTTATGGAAGCCACTTTCATCCAGGACATTAAATAATGGTACTGCTACATAATCCTCATGGGCTCTAAAAATAAGAAACACAAACAAGTAAAATAATGGTATCTGTAATCAAAAGCTTAAGTTTTGTGAGAAACAGTTTATTAAAAATTTTGTAGTATCTCATAATTCGAATTGTTTGTAAAATATGCAAACTAGAGGATTCTCTAATTAACAGATAATTCAAAGAAATAAAAACTGGTAACAAAATTAGTTTCATGTCATTCCTTATCCTATTATCAAACTCACTTGTAGTGAACCACTGTGGAGAGACAAATGGCTGTCAGCAGCAGCGAAATGCTGACCACTCCAGTGATTAAGGTCGCCGTAAACCGTCCACTTCGATGCTGATGTGGCCAATCGCTGGGGAAGGAGTACGTTAGCAGGGCAGTGGCCAGGAAGACCTGCGGTAAGGTGGTTAGAACCAGTTATTAGCTGGATAATTCCTCGGATAGCAGCCAAGCTAATAACAGACGTTCCCTTCGTCTACAATTGGTATTTACCCCGAACAAAACTGTTCTGTTTTCTGAGAGAGGGTATCATATGTACGATTTTAAAAGTAGTAAACTTAATAAAAATAAACAAAGTATAAATAATAAAATATAAAATAAGGTTAAAAATAATTATTGGTGTGACAATAGAGAGTAAGTTCTACGAAAAGAAGGGCTTTCCAATCAGAACTCAAGAGTATTACCGAATGCGGCTCAATGGGAATCTAATTTTCTGGCGAGTTTTTGCTGTCTGACTGTTGGCTTTCCACCGAGGAATGCCGGTGAAAAAAGGGGGCACGAAAAAAAAACAAAAGGGAAAAGCGGCAGTCCGTGTCATAATCAAAAGCCCGTATCCTGTGGCTTCAGCTGTGGTCACGCAATTGTTCCCAGTCACGACAGCGAAAATCGATGGGAGTCAGCAAACAAAATAAGGAAAACCAGCAAAACAAAAAAAAAAAGAAAAGAAAACCCAGACTGGCACAGTGCACTGACCCAATAACGAAGTTCCAGATGGTTCAGAAGGGGACAACTATGGCTATGGCTAAATTCACTTACGCTGCTAATGCCGTCGGGCTGGAAGTAGTTATCCGTAGACCAGGCCAACATGTCGCCCCGCCACCAGCCGACGGCGCTCAAAATGGCATTCAGGCCAAACATTCCGAGTGTCAGGATGAGGCTGAAGGCCCTCGAGTGCTGTGAATACGTTAATGCAGTGAAGTGAGTGGGGTGAGGTGTCTAGATAAGTGGGTGGACCGGAGTACCCAGTACCCACCTCCAGGCCCAGCATGAACATCCCGGTGACGAGGAAGACCACCGAAACGCCGAGCACATCCGGCCACGGCTCATTCGCGGGTGCATTGCGGCCTGAAAGTAGGCAACATTTTGCATTCAATTCGTGCATTACAGTTGGGGATGAAATATTGGGCATACCACTGTCACATTTATAATACTTATTAATGCAATATTTACACATTAATCATGGCATAAAAAAAATAGCAAAACATTTAAAATACTGAAATATTTATAGTCTTTTGAACCAATTTCAGTTCTAATATTATTATAATATATTTGGGAATAGTATGTACAATTTCTATAATATAAAAGTTATTCATATTTTTTTCTACCTACCCAATATTAGGATCCTGGCCAGTCCACCGGTCATGGCATCCAAGCAGGCGCTGAGGGTCCTTGCCAAGGCGGCACAGGCACACATGGCGGCCAAGGCATCCAGCCAGGTGGCCAAAAACAAACAGCCAAAGTCAAATTTGTTCGTGGCCCTCACATATGGCATTTGCAGGCTGCGAAGACTCGTTTTGCAACGTGCTAAAAAATAAATAGAGTTAGTTTCTGCAGTATTCATGAAATATACGTATGTATAACCAAATTCTCACCCGACATGGTGCCATAGATGGTGGCCAAAATAACGGCGAACAGAAGGCTCGGAGCGGAGGCCTCATTGTAGACAATCAGATACGAGATTACCGAGGTTCCCAGGGCCAAACGGGCGCCACTCCCACTGCAAAGGACGTCCAGCAGGCTGCAAGGATAATCCAAAGGACGAGATTAAATTAAATTGCCTCGGAGAAACTGTCCTAATGAATACAAAGTTGTGGAAATTAGGCTGCTGTCTTTCTTATTATTTTTGCGGCTTAAGTTTCGCAGCTAAAATAAATGAAAGCGGTCAAAACAGCAAGTGGTTTTGGTAATTCAACTTGGGAGTCTCTTAATGAGTCTTTTATTTGGTACTTTATTTGGTTTTTTTTTGCAAGCTTACTTTGAACTTAACACTTAAATTACTTCCAGGAACAAACAAAAATATTATTAGACCAAAGTTCGCTGAGTTTGCACTTTTGCTTAAGTTTTTATAAAGTACATTTTTATTAGAATTACAAAAAACTAGCTCAATGTATTAAAGTTTGAACTTGAAAAGATGGAGATATTAATCCTCATGTTGCTCTTATTGAAAAAAAAACTTGCTATTGTTTCAGCTTTAAATCAAAACTGCACACAATCGACTTGATGCCTCTGTCATTCTTGGCAGGACATGACTTTTGTGGTTAGTCACCTATACAAACACCACAAAAGTAAAGCCCACAAAACCGCAAACTGTAACCACAACCACGTGTACAAACACATGGACAGAAAGGACATGCACATTTTTTGTTGCTTGCCAATTTTTTGGCGCCAAGCTGACAATGCGAGGGGTTACACTACGAAAAAATAGATTAAACCAGAAAAGGTTATGCTATTTTATTTGGGTATGGCATATTAACTTTAAAACCCAAAGCGAATGGTTAAAAAAAAACAGAAAAACTAACTAAGAAAAATTAATTTCCAATTTCACACAGAATTCCTACTTTCCACGTGGCCCATTAAATTGAAACCTTACACTGATATGTTATTATTGCTTTCTTTTCAGTGTATAAAGGACGAGGGAAAGTGGTGAAAGGAGACTGCGGCTGTTTGCTCTGGCGGCTGTGGCAGCTCTCGGATGCCATGAGTCATGGGCAGGCTGTGTGCTTCGGGGATCTCCTCTTACGCCATTGAAATTGAAGCTCCCACAGCTGGCCGTCCTTTTTCCCACTTTCTCTGGCCAATTTTCTTCTAATTGTAATTATGTGTACTTTTCGTGCATATTTTAAGCAGCTCGATTATCCTAATTACATGACTCCCAGGCTTCTGGCATTGGCCTTACTGTGCTGGGGATTTAATAAAAGGGGATGTCAATTTTGCAAGCCTTGCCAACGAATTTTCGTCGATTTTTCTTACCCATTTGTTTCCCCACTTATAGTTAGTGTCTATTTTTAGTCGCCAATAGTTGAAACGGTTGCGAAAGTAAATAAATAAATAAATAACACAGCACGTCGGCCCAATTTGCCTGTCTTTTTATTTTATCTCTGCATGTGTGGGATTTCAGTTAGTAAAACGCGTGGCTAACAAACTAAAAGAAAAAGGGGGGGAAACAAGTTTGTTATTTCGAAATAGGGGATCCCCGACGAAAATAATTTGTTGACAATTATAATGAATAATTGATAATAAAAGAATGCTTGCAAAGTTCTCGGAAATCTATCAACTTAATTGAGAATCATTTTAGTTGAAAAAGGAAACAAAGATCGAATAAAATTGTTTGTAAAAAGCAAAAAAGCCAAATTAATCACACATGAAATTGAAGATAATTTATTGTATTTTCAATTTAAGAAAATTTACTATTTTTACCAGTTCAAATTAGTACTTTAAGTCCCATTTAATTAAATTAGTTTAGATGTCTTTGCATTAGTTCATCGAAAACGTAGTACTAGAATATCAAGTATACGCAGTGTGGGCGGCCAATTGTATAGGCCAAGGCGACAAAATGTGAGAAAGCCAGTCAGTGTGACGCCGCCAGAAGGAAAACAAAAAGAAAGCAAATACCAGACAGAAGAAAACAAAACAAGGGAGAAAGGGAAGAAAGAAGGAAGAATCGAGGAAGAAAACCCACACACATGGCAATCAAAAATCAATTTATTGATTACACGACAAATATCAGTCATAACAACTATCTGATATGCTCGAAATGGCTGTCTAGTAAATGCCAAATGTGTATATGATATGAATTGGGCTTGAATCCTACCTGCCACTCGACATGGCCTTTGTTGTTGTTGTTCTTGTTGCTATCGCTTTTGTGGGTTTCCCTCAACTGGCAATTGGCCAGGTTCAAAATGTGATTTGTTGCTCGTTTTGTGGCAGAACTTGGCCAACATTTGCTGACATTTTTTGGCTCTATTACTTTATATATATATCTGTAAGACACTTTGACACTTGACACTTGAGCTTCGGCCTTTAATTAGCGAATCGTTCGAGTGGTAATCTTTGCTCCTTGACACGTAACCTGGGAAATTATGTGGGAAAATTCGAAGGTGACGCGTAACCGCTCGCTTAAATTGGCCGCAATCCACTGACTGCTCACTTGAAGCTTTTCCTCCGCCGCCCAAGGAGCTTTCACCCGATTCCGACGCACAGCTGTCCACCGGATTCCGATTCGGATTCGGAATACGATTCGGATTCGGGTTCGGAACGAAAACTGTCCTGCGCAATGGACATTGTTTACGTTTGCGTTTACAGTTGGTTGGCCTGCCTTCTGCTCTTTGGTGGGAAAATGGGAAAAGCGGACGGGGTGGGGCGGAAAATCCGGAGGGTCATTGCTTTGATGCTCCTCAAGTGCCAACCAAGTGCAATCTCTGTGCATAGTAAATTAATTATCTTTTCGCACAGTCTGCATTTTCGTTTTTCCGAAGGTCTTAAACTATAAATATAAAGAAACAAAACCTAATATTAATAAAAAAATAGCACCTCGTTTTATTATTAGAATACATTTCTGCAACGTATATTCAAGTTGTATAAGCTGATAATCAGGTTATTTAATTTCTTAAAATAAAAGTCTTTAAAACTTGTTTTCCTCTTCTTAAATTAATTCAAATAAGACTGCATTTCAAGTCAGGTTGATACTGCTTTGAGAAAACCAAAACATACATTTCCAAAATATACATAAAGGTACTTTAAGTGTTTGATATAAAGGTCATTTTATTGTACATGAGTTAAATTCTATGATTACATCACGTCTATATGATATGAAATGAAAATGAAGAATTAAGGAAGTAAAGTGTCATAGTTAGTACACGACATTGACAAAAAGAATAAAAACAATTGTAAGACTTCAAAAAGTTTATAGCATAAACATGACAAAGGTATAATAACAAATTTTGAATCATCAATTAGCAATACTTGGAATTCATTTGTCCAAATGGCATCCCCTTTAAACAAAATTTTTCTCACTTACAAAAAGATTTGTTAAGTTCACCTGTAAACAAATCTGCGGCTTAAATCAAAAACAAATACATATACAAAAACATTGATGCTATGCTTATATTAATATTGATACCTTTCATTACCAAGAGAACAATAACAACATTATAAATATATAAACATTATTTTTTTAAAACCTTTTTCGTATAATAATACCTTGCATTCTATTTCCTCAGCTTGATGATAACCCGTAGAATATTATACCCAATGTTGTGAGATCTGACATTTATCCGAGAAGGCGACCTTGACTTGTGCAAATTACGCCCGCAAGTTGTGCTAACATTTGAAACAAACAAATGCGAGAAGCGGCCAAAATAAACAGTTAAGACGGCAATCAAGCCCCATCGGAGACCTTGTGGTAATCAAAGAGATAAACAGATAGATACCCCCATAGAATCTTTATATCCCATCGAGAGTGTTCTAATTTCGGCGAAAGGGTAAACTAGTTGGCTTAAATTTTTGGCAAGAACGAAACGGGTTTTCGCCGGGCAATCAGACGGAAAACAATGGCCATAAAAAGCAGCAAACGAAAAAAAAAACGAAACTATCTAAACTTATAACCAGCCATTTAATTCGAACGTGTGCACTTCAGAGAAGTGTCTCTGGAGTTTTTTAGAGGCTGCTCTCATCAAATCAACGACTTCAATGTCCGACCTTCTGACCAACTAAGCTGTAGCTTTTGTACAAAATTGTCAGTTGTTTCGGTCTTTTCACTTATGATTTGTTTAATAAGCCGAGTTTTTTCTCCACTATGGTTAAGGCTAACTTGTCCAGTTTATAAATAAATGTTTGGTGAAATTTATAAACATTTGAAACCGCCTTCACTTCTTCGATTGAGCCCACACCTTTCTGATATTGTTTAAATCTGATTTTATTTAAATATTTAAGCAAGACATCTTCAGGCCCGTGATAATAAGCCATTGATTTTCTTACAACATTTTACAGCATAGGTATTTGGTCATGACAGATGTTCACTTTATGACTTTAGAGCATTTATGTTAATTGAAATCAAAGCCAGAAACAATATAATCAAAATTCAATGTCAGTTCGGCTTCGCACATAAGATTTAGTGTTTCGTTTTGTCTTTTTTCTTCTATGGGCTTTGGGAATGTTGCTCTATGAAGTCGGAAGTTGTTGGTCAGGTTTACAAATAACACTTTATTGAAAGAAGCAATTATGATTCGCTGTGTCGGTCAATGGTTAAAAGAATCAGTGAATTTAACACTTTGGAATTCTCTCAAAAAATGCTTAGAAGCAGAATCATTGAATTTAACACTTCGAAATTCTTTTAAGAAAAATACTTAGAAACAGAAGAGTGGAAAAAGTTATCAGAAATGTAATATATTATCTATACTTTGGTTCTATAAAGTCATCTGCTTCCTGCAAAAATTTTAACATATTATTGTGTCAAAAAAGAAAAATATAAACATCTATAAAAATCTCGGTATATTTAAGCTTATAAAAAATAAAACTAAGAGATATGCAAAAGAATTCAATTACCAACAGTGAATCAACATGAATCTGATGCCATAGTCAAAAATATAAAATGAACAATCATAACAAACCCTCTAAAGAGACGAAAATTGGTTTGTCAAACAAAAGAACCAGATTTCATTGGTTATCCGTATCAAAAGAATTCTACAAGCCCCACAACGCAATTCTTTCTGAGTGGAAAAAACACGTTATTCCTAACGAGAGGCCAAGCGTTTCAAATCCGCAAATAACCAAGAAATATCAAATACTTCAAGGGGCCAAAACGCAATTAGCACATCGCAAATGAGATTCCCAAGAGTCACACCGAATTGTTTACGGTAGCCAATCGACGACCTTGACGCTTTGCGATTTCTGCCAATAATTATCGGGCTCCTTATTGTTGTCAGATAAATCATAATTAATAATACGCAGAGCTTAGGCAGTTCTAAGCAAATGGACCATCATCAGCCTAGGAAATATGAACAGCATAATGTCCAAGTCATCGGATAAACACATGGCATAAAACACGTTCGTTTCTCAGCCGGAAGTCCGATGTTAAAACGAGAATTTCTGATAGGAAGTGAAATAGGTTAACGTTCAGATTGGCGCTTAGCTTTATAGCCTCACCATTATGCTGGTTCTAACGGGTTTTTATTTTTGCGAAGGCTACCGGTTGATTCATTTGCGATTGTCTGCCTCGATTATGGGGTTCTTTTGGCCAAAACAATCTCCGAGCTTGGATTCGGCCAGAGTTCAGCTGATTTTCGGCTTTCGGTCAACAGGGCACGAGGTTAAATTCTCGAAAAAGGAAATAGCTGGTTTTAAACATGCGCCGAGATCTGCTCGCTTTTGATTGTATAGAACAAATGGAATATGTTTGTTTTCGGTTTAATTATTGCGGAAATTTGCAAACGATAAATTGAAGCGGTGAAGGAAATAAATTATTTTGTTTTAAAGACATCTTTGATAATGGGTTATTAAGCGTAATTGGTTACTTTTCTTATTGAGGCATGAGAGTTAAAGAACCAACTTTTTCAAATGAAATCCAAAAATTATAACAATTTAAAATGTAACGAAGTTTTTTAACATTTTTTGAGATATTAGGAAACCCTGATTAACAGCTGGTAAGAGCTCTCTCCTGTCACTCTCTAAATCTCGAAAAAATCTCTCTCTTGTGAAAACCACCACCGAAAGCACCGCAATCAACAGGAACAGCTGGGGCTCCCGCCTTTTTGCTCCTTTCCTTCAGCCCCTTAATCCGCCTTTTTTCTCTCACTGCGCCTGCGTCACAACTGTCAAAAAAGCCACGCAGTGGGAAACGAAGCCGAGGCAAAAAGCAGTCGAAAAATATAAATAAGCAAATAAAATAAAACCAACCAGACAAAAAAAGAATGCTTTAAGATCCAGTAAATTGATTTGCATATTTTGGTAATTAATCGATTAAGTTAATGCCGGCTAATCCGAAATCAGCTAAATAAAAAACTTAAACGAACAAAGTCGTGTAACAAATAACGGTAGTAAACCAATTACATTTTAACAATCATAGAAAGTGAAAGAAATTTTGAAGAAATTATTCTTGTTTTTGTGCATAACATGTGCTAACGAGTCCACAAATGGCCTTAAACATTTTTATCAGTTTTTTGACCCGCAAAACTTCTTGTTAAAAATGCAAATCGAAAACTTAAAAAACGCACGTATACAAAACAAATGATATCAAGTCAAATAACTAAAATTTGCTTATTATGCAACCTGAAGATGTGACGAAATCGTTAAGAATTGCCAGCCAAATATTATCTCAATCGATTAACATAACCAGTTTTTAATATGCGAAAACCGCAAGAAAAAAGCCAAGTCCAAACTGATGATTTGGTATGTGTGTTTGTGTGAAAGAAGGCGAAAGGAAGAGAAGGAACGAAAAGGAGAGACAGCACAAAGCGCATTGTTGACAATAAGGAAAGAGGATAAAAGTTGGCCAAAAGTGCATTTAACCAAATTTGCGGGCAAGCGACTTTCATCTGATTTCAAAATAAAGTTAAATAAAATATATCAACATGGGCTTTGAGGGGAAAGTGAACGGTAGTCGCAGAAGTTAAGGTCGATTGTTATTATAATGATGATTTACTGCGATAATTCACTTTCAATTTTTAGCTTATTAGCTCAAGAGAAAGACTTAAGGAATCTTATGTTGTTGTAGCAGGCCTTCTTATTCAAATCTGTTTTAGTTTTCAAAATTATAACACATATGTAAGTAAGTAAAATGTTTATTGGTTAGGAAAATCAATGTACAAAAGTGAAACACCTAAGGCCAGCTAAAGTGTTTTCGTGTCAAACGATGCTAAAAATACATTTACAAATTTGTTAATTAAGTAACAAACAAAATGCATCATCCAAGTGATTTTTTCTGTCGCAAAATTTGTATAATTCAAAACGCTATTAGTCATGTTCACGCTGTCCCTCTAACTCAGAGATAAATGTGTACAAATATTACAGCAGTTTTTATTTTAAGCAATTATTCAAACTGCAAGTTACAAAAAATTAAAAGTGGAAAAAAAGATTCAAAAGACCTGATATACTTACAGATCTCCCTATAAAGTGCCACCTACTAAGTGATTTTTTTATGAACAACTGAGTTAATATATATCTCTCTTTTTTAAGAGGCCCTAAAAGGTTCCCTCAACCTAAATTTTGTAATCAAAAACATAATAATAAAAAAATGCATCACTCCACCCAGCTGTAATATAATTGTTGGCTTTTATAACGGCAATTAGTCATGTTCAAGCTGTCCTTCTATTGCAGTTGGTAGTTAATTTTTATGTTAAAGTATGAAAGCATAAATCTCAATTAATTTTAAACAATTACACAAACCCAAAAAAGAAGTGATAAATCGCTTTAAGCGAAGCGCAGCCCAAAGCAACATAAGAACGAGCAACGAGCAAAACAAAAATAAAAAAAAATATAATAAAAATCCAAGCCGAAGCTGCGCTTGAAGCTCGATGACGTCACAAGCGAAGCTTCGGCTAAGCGGCGAGCGGTAAGCAGCGCAGTCGACGTCGACGGCGACGACAACGTCGGCGATATCCAATAGCGCGCCAAAATAAGAAGTCGAAATTCATTCCTTTCGAGCCCACAACGTTCAAATTCGTTTGCTACGCTCACGAGAGCGGACGTGCAGTGCGGAAAAATCCGAAAAAAAATATCAGACAAAAGCCCCCAAGACCCCAGATCCAAACTATATACAAAAAACCAAACAACACGAATCGCTCACGAAATTAACTTGAAACAAAAACCCAAATTAATATCGCGTTTGTTGCTTGCGGTTGTGTCTCGTTTGCATTTAAATTAACGGAAAAACTACGAAAAAATTACATAAAAAGAAAGCCCATTAAATTGAAAACTTGTGTCTTAACAAAGTGTGATTTAACTATACAAAATTCGATAGATAAAAATTAAACTGAACATAATCGAGTGCGAAATGGAGAAGAACAATAACAACCTGCCCGCCGAGGAAGTGCAGATTTTGTCCAATGGCAATGGAGCGGTCCACCCTAAAAAGGAGGCAGAGGTTCCTGCTGCGGAAGGATGGGGTCACTTCCTATGGAATACCTGGGATGCCTTCGCGGACGTGGCCTGGTTCATCATCTGCTGCATTGGATACATCCTGCAGGTGAGCTTTACTCAAAAAACTCTACCTTAAAAACAATTCTATTATGGCAAGTTGCCTGAATAGTAAAGTGGTATTAAAAATTAGCCTTTGACCTTCTTACTTGTATAATTTAATTATACAAAGTCAAAATATGCTTCAGCTTTAATTATCCACTAATAAAAGATACCCATAAACAAAAGGTTCCTAATTTGTTAGAGGTAAAATAAAAGATTTTATTGTATCTCGAACTGACCGCTGGCCGGAGACCTTCTCACTTTTGTTTACAACAGATTAATGAAAATGTTCAGACGATTGCCGAAATCGCATTTGCTTCCTCGAAAGAATAATTCACCTTCGCTCTGACTTTGGTTGATTAGCAACATTGTGTGATTTAGTTAACGCATTTTACCTTCGGCACTCGACGAAATGTGTCAATGTTGCCGGCGAGAATCGCACAGAGAATTTCAAGTCTGGCGATCGCATGGCTGGCAAAAATAATGAACGCCGGCGATTAACTTATTTAATTAGCAGCGAAAAGGATGTGATATATGTGATGTATGGCCAAAGGTAATGGCCACTGCCAATGGCAGCACGTGTGGCGTTTAATTGGAGCCGTGAAAGAGATTTAAGGCATTAAGATCCGGCGGAGACAAGTTTTAAGATCGTATCTGCGATTTGGGGACCGCTCGAGATGATGTAAACCAGCCTGTGAACGATAATTTATTTTGACTTGCGAACTTGGCTTTTTGAGATGCCATCAGGGGAGGGAAAGGATCGGCGGAACCAGTTGAATATTGAGTTATCATACTTCATATTTTCACATATAAATTGAATAATTCAGGGTCGTTAACTAGCTAAAATTATGGGGCAGGAAAAATAACAGCAGGGGAATTGAATTGATAGACTGTTGATTTTTAAATTGCAGTTGTCGGACACATTTCGTTCGCTCGGAATAAATGTATTAAATTATGCACGCCTATTAGAGAATTCGCCATCAATATAAAGCGAACGAAATTTCCTCAACAATTTGTTTAACAATGCATTAGCACTACCAGTAGTTATAACTAATAAAAAAAAAGCAACTATCAATCTCAATACAAAATGCAAATAATTGCCAAAGTGACTAATGCAACAACTTAGCTTTATACTCGTCACTTGCCTAATTAATTGTCATTAAACACTTGAATGAATTGCAATCTTTGATAATTGAAAGTGAGATAATATCATTAAGGCTTACGGCCAATAAAACTGCTCATGGGCTCCAAAGATATCTGGAAACTTTAAAATTAGGGCCATATCGGGTTCAAACTGACACTCTGACACGCTAAGTGGTTTTAAAATAACCAAAAATAAAAGACAATAAAGGCAATTTTAATTTTATTGCGTAAAACTCAGCTTGTGGTAATTATATTTTCACTTTACCGCAAAAAAAAAAAACAAAAAGAAAAAACCTTTATTGTAGCCAAGGGTTAGTGAGATGTGATCGTGAAATATGTGTGGCATGATAGCCAGGCTTATAGGTATTCGTTGGCTGCGGTGGCATCATTATGCACGAGTCGCTCGGGAGAGGGCCATAAAAATAGAGACGACTGGGGAAAAACTGTTGACATTTGCATGCCAAATGTAAAGTCAGCGACTCAGAAAGACAACTGAATTTGCATGTAAATTTGCGGGTTTTGTAAACGCTTAAATGATGATTCTAAGTGCTTACCGCTTGACTGGCTTTCGATGACAGCTGGCAGATGTGCGAATTGCCTGCTGATTGTTGTGATGGGATTAACAATCGGTCGGATAACCCAAAGAGTATTATTAACCCGATTTGTGTCAATGCACTGCTAACAAAAGACTTGGGCAACAAACTTGCGCTGTAAGTTCCACCTACAAGTTGGAAATTAAAAGAGGAGAGCTATGCGCTCGCTTTTGCACTGAGAGAATATAGATTTTATTACAACAGAGTATTAAATAATTCTAAAAGAAAATTAATCAAATATATAATACGTTTTCCTTAAAATATTTATAAATTTATCTTAACGTTTTCTTATCTAAATTCTTAAGCTTATTATTCTAAAATTTCTCAATTTGAAAATATAAGTTTTCTTGCTATTTCTTTAATAAAGAATTTAACAATTTCTTGACCATTTCGGGCCATGTTTCGTGGAGTGCCCCGGGCCAAGTAATGAGCCAATTCAGCAGAGTTACTGCCCGCTGCCGGAGTCGCTGTCAACGGCGCGACTGCGTTTGGCTTGTTGACCTAGTTCAACTTTTTGCATTTTGCCGGCTTTGTGGTGGTGGTGCTGCTGCTGTCTGACTGTTGGCCACTTGGAGAGCCTGTTTTTATTAGCTAGCCGCAAGAGCCCACTCACACACACACACACATCGCATTGTAATTGTGGTAACAACAACAGACACCGCAATTTCGCGGGCATTCGTTGGCTGTGGTGTGTGCGTTGCAAACGCAATTGAAATTGAAAGTGTTTGCGGCCACCCGAAAGGCAAATAGCTAAATACAATATCTTACTACTGGATGGGTTGCCTGGCTTAGCTCGCCGCTTTGTAAGTGAGCTTGTAAGCCGTTTGTTTGCTTAGAGACCGTACCGTACCGGTTGCAGGTTCATAACCCGCATGCGGCCTTGTGCTTTCGACTGATTTACGGCCGCCAGTGTGTGTGAGCCAGAAAAAATGGGTTACTGGGCGGGTGTGCCACATAATAAATACAAGACGAGAAAATAAACTAACTGACTGGCAGGCAGGCACACCGTACATCAAAGAAACCTACAATGCTGGCGGACAAGCACTTAAAATTAGATAATTATATTTTGAAAACATAAAACTACATTACCTACTACTTACTTGCACTGTACTTAAGTTTAAAGCTCACCCAAAAACTACATTTGTAATTTAACAGACTGTGTAGCAACTTCACTTAATTTATTCTATTCTCGAAATGCTGATAACCCACAATTGTATTGTTTACAAATTGATAAATGACACCTGCTGGTTTCCATGTCTTAAAATAAATGCACTTCTAGCCAATCATTCGACATATCCGTTGCAGCTGAATTTGGCTTGGCAAATATCCGCTTTGGCAGACAAATTACCACTCAAGTCACTCAATTCACAAGTTGCAGTTGTCGAGATCGCATAGAACTCGACTTTGCAATTTATGAGCTCGTGTCTCTCTTAAAGCCAATACACTGTTAGAAACCTTTATTGTGATGCTAATTTGCTCAGCGAATCTATAAATGAAAATTGCCATTGAAGGCCGCGCCGGCAATCGATGACAGCGACCACCCGCCTGCCATAAAAATCGGCGAAACAACAAAATCAGCGAAGAGAAGCCAGTCATGAGCAAACAAAACTTAAAGTGCAAAATCATTGGCCAATTGGCCAGGCAGCTAAAAACTTTCAAGTGTATGAGGAGTGGGGGCAGAGACTCGATTCAAATGCAATGCACCGCGCTGCCGTTTTCTGTATTTGTTGCATTTGTTGTCTGCGGATTCAATTTCAGGTTTATTATTATATTTTTTGATGCCTATGCACTATTTTGTTTCTGGGGGCTATACGATTTTTTATACATTTTCGTTTTGAGTTAAAAGTAAGTAGAACGAGCTGGCAAAAATTGCAAACCTAATCCAGTTATAGAAATGTTATAAAAACATTAAGAACATTTTTTATTCAGTAAGATATATTTATGAATTTGAAGTCCTTAAACATTTTATTATTAAAGCTTATATTTTGCTTATAAAATGTAGAATATTTTAATGCTGCATATTATTATAATTATTACTATTATTTTTAAGAGAGAGAGAGAGTATATTAAATGCAACAGTACTCTTCGTTGCATTTAATATTGCAGCTTTAGCTTTTTTCGTTTTTATTGCAACTGTCGGTGTCTGTGTCTAGTTTCAAAGCGATTCGGCAAAGAAGGTCATTCAAATGGGGGGGCTGAGGGGGTTGGAGGGGGAGGGGAAGGCGGAGCAGACCGGCAGTCGACGTCTGCTAAGTGTTTGTGCATTGGCAGCATTGCAACACTGGCCAATGTTTTGTGGCAAGTTCGTGCCTTAAGTCTTTTGTTTTTGGCTCACTCGCCGCAAAATGCACTCAAAGCCACTATGTATTTTCCACTCGAATCACAAAAAGTAACCAAAATTGGAGCCAATTTGGTAGACAGGAGGCAGGTGCGTCTGTGTTTGCAGGTGTGTGTGAGTATTAGTGTGTTAGTGTATGTGTGTGTTTGGTATCAAGCTTTTTTGGGGTTGGGCAAGAGGCCGCAAGTTTGTGGTATTCGGTTTCACTTTCGGCCGGCTCTAGAACCACGTTACCCACCTTAACCATGTTAACCAGACATCGGCGACGTCGGCTTGTTGATATTTTTTCGCAATTCTCTTGGAACCCGACAAAAAGGAGAGAGAGAAACAAGTTTGTCCATTTGCTTTTCGTCCGTAAACATTTGATTACTGGCTGAGAGCAGAGCTACCACAAATAATGATGATGATGATGATGCTGGCGGGAATGGGAATGGAAATAACCCAGCCGGCTTCAAGCCTTAGAAGTCTGAGAGCAAGAGGAGCCTGAGATCCAGAGATCGGCCATTTGGCATTTGGTTTGCATAAGTTATGCAAGATTTTCGCAATCCAAAAACTCGAGAGAATTCCACACATATTTGCTATTTAACAGGGCTAATGAAGAGGGAAGATTCGTGTTAATTAATGTTTAAACAGCTCTAATGAGCTAAACACTTTTTGCCACCTGTGCAGCTTCGGTCAATTATTACCTGAGATTTCTATGCTAATACTAATGATGTTTGTTCGGCAGTTATGTAAAGATTTACACAAATGTTGTAACTATTTGTGAGCTTCACATTTGAGTTCTAGGCCAAATCTACCACAAAAAAAACTGTAAACTTTTATTTAAATGCAGAGTTTAAATTCAAACTGCAGCCTTCAAATAATTTTCTACTCTTGTAGGCTTCATGGTAATTATCGATTCAATGCATCTATAATTATACTAATTCGATTTCACGCCCAATAGAAGACGAATTTCAGTTACAAAACAAACTGACCATCAATCATTTTTAAATGGCAAAGACCTTTCAAAATTTTCCGGAGTCAATCAAATCAAAATCAGTGCATCCAAGACAAATCCGATTTGATGCTGGCCTTCCGTTTTTTCTTACAAAGGTCAAAGCTTGGACCTTGACAATCACCAGTAAATCAGAAGACAACAAATGCCAGGGAGACCAATAAACCCTACTGAATGAACTTGATGCTGACTCGGCAGGTTTTATCTCGGTGAAAAAAAAATTCAGCTAGACAAACTAATTCTGAAATGACACGGCTAAAATCAGAAACTTGTCTGCAGAATTTACATTTGTCTGAACAATAGTCTCGAAAAGTTTCCGTGATCGCGTGGCAAATCTTTCTCTTTCATTCTCAGCATATAAATTCGCTTTCAATTTGCATATTTGTGTCTTTTTATGTCATGCCATACATAATAACATGAAAAGAAATCGCTGCTCCCATTATGATGATTATCGTATTATGTATAAATTATAATTGCGCGCTTCCTGTCCTTGTTATTTGAGTTGAGCTGAGAAAAGAGCACATTGCATGTTAAATTATGTGACAAAGTGTCTGTCAACGAGCCGGCAGCAACAGCAGCAGCGTGGAAATAAAAGGGCCAAAAGCAACTCATCATCATTGTTGTCAGCAATTTCGACCTGCCCAAGACACCGCCGGTAACAAGTTTCCTTTGATTAATTTTTGTATAATTTATTATACCATTTTTCGGAGAGGCAGGAAAGCATTTGCGAAAAAGAAATGAGCGGAAATGGTTTTTAAAATTAAGACGAAAGGTAAATACTCTTAGATTTTAAAGATGTTTCTATTGTCTTAATTAACAAAAAAATTGAATTGCCCTATAAAATATTTTAATGCAATTAAATTAAAGATAATAAAAGCAGGACAGGACAAAAAGGAATATTTTATGTACTGAAAATTAATTGTTATCTTTTTTAAAAATATTTTAAATATTGAAAGTTATTAACCAGTTTGATCTATTGGAATTTTTTTCTACTTTTTTCCACAAAGTGCCACAATAGAACCGCCTTCTTTTACAGTATAAAGACACAAAGTTGCGACACATTTATTGTTAATGTCAAAATAATTGGACACGCTTGCCGGACCGGGCTGAAACCCCGGTCGAGTGTCTCAGGTGCAAAAGCCGGCCCAGGAAGCCAGGTGCCCTAAGCGGATGGGTCGACTGGCTGGCTGGCAGCAAGTTCGCGTGTGGCATGAAAATTTATGGCATGCCCCCGCTTGCCACGCAGAAAGTGCTACTGTGCAACATGTTAAGTATTGAGTTCGCCGCCTCAGTCTTTTGTTCCGCTTTTCCCTTTCGCGTAGTTTTCTTTTTTTTTTTTTGTTTTTGCGGCCACAAGGGAGGTGCGATGGTCATAAATTTTGACAGCTTATTGACACTAAACGGTCTGAAAAAGCTGTTGCAAATTTTCGACTGCCTACATACCATACATACTATATATCAATTAATTGCGGTGCAATTGAGGTGAACTACTCGCCTCGCCCACTGCCGCCCTCAATGGTTTTTCAAGGCGGCAAATTGTGGTCTATTAACACGCAGCCGTCAAGTGGCAAAAGTTGTTGTTTACAATTTTACACTTTGTTTGGGCTACCTTTCGACTATTGTGTATTGTGTAAACTTTGAAGTTGTCTCCATTTGCATACGCGTGACTCGGTTCAGTTTAGGAATATATAGGAAACGAATGAGAGGAGACAACAAAAGACTTGAGCAACGAACTTATTTGCATGGCGGGGCGTTGGGGGAAAGAAAGAAATTTTATGGTTTTATTTTTGCTGAATGGAAATTCATGGATTAGCATATTTTAAAGAATATTTTGAAGATTTAAAGATATCAATCTAGGAATATTTGTAGTTTTTTTCCAGCATTACAATATTTATGAGTTATATTCTAAAAGGTAACATTACATATTTCTCTCACATCATTTACCGGACTTAATGAACTACATCAGACATAAATACTCTAAGGAAGCCTTGCCAAATTGATATTTAATTAACTCTTCTTGAAAAGTAATTATAGCCTTCCTCTAATTAAATTCAATTTGCTGTCGCTTCCAGGATCTCTACTACATTGCCTTCGGCTATCCCGAAAAGGAGCTCAGCACAGACATTGCCCTGATCACAGGTGGTGGCAATGGACTGGGTCGTCTTCTGGCCGAGAGACTGGGAAAGATGGGAACCAAGGTCGTTATCTGGGACATCAACATGAAGGGTAAGTCACCGGATCACGCGACATAGCAAAGGGTTATCAAATAATTTTGTTATAAACCAATTACTCGTAGGCATTGAGGAAACCGTTCAAATTGTCCAGAAAGCTGGCGGCTATTGCAAAGGATACGTGGTGGATATTTCCAAAAAGGAGGAAGTTTACAAGGCAGCGGATGTCATCAGGGAAGAAATTGGTGATGTAAGTAAACAAAAACTATAATTATTTTAATTAAACTCTTTGGGGAAAGTAACTTCAAATTCCAAACATTATTGAGTAAAGTGCTCTGGAATGAAAATGTATTACTTTTCCAATACCTTAGCTCACCTCCATTTTGGGGGGAGGGAAATGCGTGCGGGAATTGAAGCATAAAAGTCCAGTAATTGCTGTTTACAGTCGAGCGCCTAATGTGGCATCAGACTAGTCGTCATATAATTGTTTGTTGAGGGGCGTTTAATGGCCTTTATATGCTGGCCAGAACGCCAGCCGCCGTCTTTGGGAGCGCGGAACACATGTAAGCCGGCACCATCCAAGACCGGCAACAGTGGCTGCCACACCCCGTAGCAACACATTTATGCATATTCATGTCATAAATTTAAACCGAAGTCAGGGCGGAGAAGAGAAAAAATTTGTATGCATGAGCGCATCGTCATCGTTGCGGCAACCTTGAGAAATTGTTGCACATTACACAAACGGCAGGAGGAAAATAAAAAAAAAAAAAAAAAAAAAAAAACCAAGCGCAGAAGCCAAGTCCAATCCGGTCTTCTGCAAACTGGTTGCCACTTCGCATTCGATCTACTCATTTATCACAATCTGGGGCACTTTTCAGGCCATGCAGCTGTGCAACAGATATTCAAAGTACTTCTACATGTTTTCGCTAAGCCTTTCTTGCTAATTACGGGGTTATTATTTTGTGTTCACTTTTGTTCTTTCAATTAGTTCTTATTCGCTTACAAATATGAGCTTAGCTTATGAATAAGTTGGAAGTCAGGGTTGAGGTAGTCCGTTAATTATAGTAGGATTCATTAACAATTACTCGAAAGAACAAAGTAAGTTAAATTAAAATCAAGAAAAGATTTATTTACATAAATATATTTCAATTTTAATTTGGGTAGCAACATAGTTTTAAGCTATAGCTTTTTTCATAACCACTTTCCACAGATGCTAAACTCTTTAATAGTTATCATTTACCACCTGCCAACCTTATTATTTAAACAATTTAATGCCAGTTAATTGCTTTAAAATTGTTGCCACAAGCATCTAATGCCATCATTAAAAGATTTTTCATGCATGGCCTGGTCAATTTCCAAAGTTTACTGAACTACCGAAACCCCTAAATTATTTGCCGAAATTATAACTTCAGTTGAAAAACGATGGAAAAGTGGTTAAAATTATGTCAGAAATTCAAGCATAAAAAAGCAAGCAACAAGAACACAAAGTGTGGGGAAAAATCACGAAAAAGCAAACAAAACCATAATTTTGAAAGAGTTATATAATGACAGCGGCAACATCGTTGAACCTGAAAGTCACAAAAAAATAAATAAAGACAAAGAGCAGTAGCCACAAAAAAACAAAACAAAGTTTAACTACTTAGTAAGTCATGCGTTATGCAGATGACGCGTTGTTTTTTGCTATCTTTTTTAGGTTTGAATTCTGTTGTTGTTGCTGTTATTGTTTTTGTAGTTTTACTATTGCTCGAAGCCCTCTGAAATATTACATTTAATATTTTTTAATGGCCTGGCAATGTTGTTGTTTGGTTTTAATGGTCGGCTGCTGTTGTTTTTGCTTAATGCACGCCTCGTTAAATGTTTTTGCCCGGTTACAGCGGGGCAAATTCGAAATCGCTCATACGCAATGTATGACCCCACACAACAATTGCACTTGAACTCGCCCTCAAATCGGATCATTGTTGTGCACTTGTTGTTAACTTATTTAACCGCCGGCTGTAATCGGATAGGTTTTCGGGGTAACCAAGCGAGTGAGCTGCTGTTACTTGAGTTTTTCAAGCATCTTACATTATTTGCATTTAGACCTTGACATGCTCGACTTTATGGTTAGCTGCCACTTAAGGGTTTTTACTTTTGGGTAAATAAATCTTTAAAAAAATACTCAAAAAATATTAAGTCTGGTAGCAAATTTTAGCTTGGGAAATAAAACTAGAAAAACTGTTGTTAAAATTAATTTTATTAGCCAGATCGTAAATCAATTGGCTTGTGAACCAAAACAAATTGAAAAAATTAGGCAAGCCCACGCCTTAAAGCATTTTGCGAAAGAGTTAAAGCCGAGAATAAATATTTTTTGGCCTTTTGGTGTTAGTGGCACGACAAGTAGTTATGCAATATTGCGAAATGCAGGCAACATTTTTGGCAATGTCGCTATGGATATTTAAAAAATCTACATTTTGTTATGGCAGGAACGATCAATTATTGATTAATGTTATACTAAGAAAAGGTTATAAATTTAAAATTCTTGTTTAATGTATGGCATATTGTTCCTTATATATTAATTATATATCTTTCCCCTACTGAAATTAAGCAACTTTTTGGTTACATTTCAGATCACTCTGCTGATCAACAATGCGGGCGTTGTATCGGGTCTGCCCCTTTTGGAAACACCTGACCATCTGATCGAGCGCTCCTTCAATGTGAATGTCATGGCACACTTTTGGGTAAGACCATAAAGCCACAATCTGCTCAGAATGTGGATGCTAATGGCGGTTTTTCTGTGTGTGTTTCAATGTTGCAGACGACAAAAGCGTTTCTGCCCAAAATGATTGAGAATGATCGAGGACACATTGCCACGATTGCCTCGCTGGCCGGCCATGTGGGCATTAGCAAATTGGTCGATTACTGTGCGAGTAAATTCGCAGCCGTAAGTTTGACTTACTATATATACCTCTTGTGTTCCCCTCCTTGAGTTGAGTTATCGATAATTACAGGTTGGCTTTGATGAGGCTTTGAGGCTGGAGCTGGAAGTCCTTGGCCACTCGAACATCCGAACCACCTGCATCTGCCCCTTCTTCATCCAGGCCACTGGCATGTTCGACGATGTGAATGCCAGGTGAGTGTGGCAACTGCAAAAGCAACTTCTTCTCTTCCAAGATCCACGGGAAACTGACATTTTGACTTGGTAAATGATTGCAGATGGGTCCCCACGCTGAATCCCAACGATGTGGCCGATCGTGTCATTGTGGCCATCAGGAAGAACGAGAAACTGGCCGTCATTCCCGGCTTCCTGAAGGCCCTTCTCTCCTTCAAGTGGTAAGCAAACAAATGGACTTTCGCCCGGGCCTAATAATGATAATTTGCCGCACTTAATTAGGCGCCATAATGGTTGTAAGGGGCTTGTAGTCCCCTAATGGGGAATGCTTGACTTGAATATTTTAATTTCAGTTTATTTAATGGTAGTGTGTGTTCCCCCGTCGACGGGGGAAATTAATCATAAGTGGTAGTGAGAAAAGGGTTGCAGGTGTTGCAGCTAATTTTGATTTAATTGTGGGTAATACTTTGTGCAGAAAAATGTATAATATTTAACTGAAACTGAACACTTTGTTCTACAAATCATTACAAAATTATTCAGTTGAGTTGAGGTCACAATAACTTTACCCATTTATAGGTTTTATTTTTGAGGTCTCAAGGGCAACATTCAAAGTTTTTTGTTTTGCAATAAAACTTTAATGTGTGCATTCCATAGCACTTCTAATAAAATGTAAAAATCTTCGTGTTTAAAAGCATGACCACATCTTTATCCACCCCATCGAAAAAATATGATAAAATGCCAACCTATGCGGGAAATGCTCACTCACTCAGTACACTGAAAAAAAAGTTTATTAAATATTAAATTTTTAGTAAGTCTTGAAAAGTATCTAAGCATTTTATATACAAGGAATATAATGAATAACCAGCTTCAGGCATTTAATTCGTTTTAATTTAATCATATTCTTATTTAAGAAAAATTACAAGATAGCTTAACCTGAGTGTAGATAGCTCCCTTGCCCAAAATCCTAGCTCGCCCCCTTGGCCACAATACCATGCCTAATGGTATCGCTTTAATGTGTTTCTCTTAAATAATGCATAATATTTACCTTTGCCTTGGCCCACCTTTCTAACCACCCCCTCTCTCGTTCTCCTTCGTGTTTTCACAGGACCTTCCCCTGGGGCTGTGTGGGTGGTTTGCTGAAGCGCCTGGTGCCCGACGCCTCCCCCACGGCCTGCCCAGCTCCATCGCAGCCGCCGTGCCGGCGAACTCCACCAGCTCCAAGTCCAAATCAACGGCCGCCGACATCGCCGCTCTGGATGCTGAACTTAGTAGCGTTACCCTGCCGGCGAAGCCACCCTCGATGCTCATCCAAAGGACACCGTCGCTGGGGGAGCGTGTCCTTTGAGCGGCCCACACGAACACCACGCACCGCCCCCCACTCCTCTGTTGTTATTTCCACATTATATATCGTATATATTTTTTGTTTCCAACGCTCTGTGTGCATTTTATGAGCGTGGAGTTACGAGCATATGTAATTGAATTTCGTGTTTTTGGCATTTTTCGCCGGCCAGAAACCATTTACTAAATCTAAGCTACAAATCTAGTGATATTACATTTAGTTAAAGTAGAATGAAGGGGAAAGCGTTTAGCCTTAATTAATCGAATTGTATTTTTGTAATGCCTCTTAAGTGTACGTGTTTTATGTTAAGGTAATGTTTTGCATTTTGCATTTCCGATTTGCCAGTAGTCATCACTTAATTTAAACAATACCCCAGGTCTTAAGCCATTTACTTGTCTACTAAAATGAATGCAATCAAAACTTTTGCTCAACGGAATTGTCCAATTCGAAATTGAAAACTTTGTTAAAATATAAATATAACAAATTCTTAGTTAAATTAGCCTAGATATTATATACGAATTATTAAAAAAAATTCATCAAAATTTATGTATAAAAACAAATTTATGTTCAAAATATACCTATTATATGAAAACAATGAAAACTAAAATGTGTTTTTTGTTCTACAAAGCTTTGGAATGGTTTTAAAATATTTTTAATATTTTAATGTTTGGGTATGGATAATACTTACAAGGAATACTTAATAAAATAAATGTTTTTGGCTTAAAAGGAAGTACTGAATTAAAGGCAAGTGTCAGTTAGCATAAAATGCAATACAAAACTAGTAAAACATATTAATTTAAATCAACTGGCAAACGGATTCTCGTCGTATTTAACACTCAAAGCTTTGGGAACTTCATATCTTCCCACAGGATCCCGGTAAATGGGATTCTCCTCTCTCACCCAAGACTGTTCCGTTTCCTTCAAGAATTTAGCGTATTCCCTGGCATCCTTGGCACGAATGCACCACAAAATAAGGAATATCAACAGTAATCCAATCAGCAGAGTAAAACCAGATATAAAACCAAACAAAGCCACATAATCGACGGGTTCGCAGTCGACTGCTTGGATGGTCAGGAAATTGGAATGATCGATGACCTGATAGACAAAATAGCTATCACATTGGATGCCATGTTTGTTCACCACTCGCACCAAACACTGATCCTGTTCGGAATCCAATTCGTGGACAAATGAGTACGTGAAGTGCTCTTGTCTGTCCAAACTGCTGCATATATCACTCAGATTATCACAGGTATTGATTCCCTGTTTCTGTTCAATTAAGCAGGTGACACAGGGCTCATAGAACTGACACAGTTTGTTGTCCTTTTCCGGATCAATTTCGCAGAATGTTCCCAAGAATGGCTCCTCACACTGGCACACTCCGCAATCACAATTTCCACGTTGTGAACAGATTTCCCCTGTGGGTCCCAAACAGGCATCCGTATCCCCATCGCAATTGCATCTGGTTCCCGACCATCCGTATTTGCAGACACACTGACCGCAAAAGCAATCGGCCAGCTTCTCATCGCAATCGATGCATTCACGACACTCGCAGAAAGGACCTGTATATCCTAGATCACAAAGGCAATTTCCACAATCGCAATCCCCGTGATTGGAGCAAACTAATGGAGAAGTGGTCTTTTCCGTCAAAGGTTGTCGGCACTTCTGGAGCAGAGCTTCGTTGCTGGTGACATTTGTGCCATCCTTGGGACAGGTGCAAAAGGTGCCAGTCCATCCCTCGTCGCAGTTGCACATTCCACAGTACATGTATCCCTGATTCTGGCACTGGAAGCGCCCAACCTCGTCCTCCGGATTCGGAATTTCCTGGCAGGGACAAGGACGCTGCAGCTCCACGTCCAGATCCATGTACTCGCTCAAGGAGGTTTCTTCTACCCGTATTTTGTGGGTCTGTAAATAGGAATAAATATATCTATAAATCATGTTTAAAGTTTGAATAAGATCTCACTTACATAAACTTTATTATCTGGATATTTTTTAAGGGTGACATCCACGTAGAAATAAATTTTTTTACCCAGACTGACATTATTGCAGAAGTTTCGTTTCTGCAGAGTGGGAAACTGTCCGCCACAATCCGTATAGTAAACCATGTCAATAAAGTCTGGACTGTTATCCGCAAATTGAGTGCGCTTTATCAAGCTCTCGTAACTTAAAACAAATGATAATATTAAGATCTATAAATATTCAAGGACTACCCCAAACTCACCTCTTTTTGATCAGTTCCAAAATATTAGAAGAATCCGCACTCAGTATATCCACATAGCTGATTTCCTTCATCAAGGCACTGAGTTCCCTGTAGCTACTTACCACTTCCTTGGTGACAGCAAATATCACGTTTATCTTGCGGCGAAGTAACTCCCTATAGATTTCCTCCAGAGAAGGATAATCGTACTCCAAGGATCCCGTGTATTCACCTGCACTATTCAGATGGCATTGCTTATCATTGCGCTCAATAATACCAGCTAAAAGTCCATCGCCCGCCAAATGCATAAACCCATCAGTTACCAGGATCACAACTTTTCGAGCCTGCTCCTTCCAACCGATTTCCTTGGGACAAACTATCACCTGCATCAGAGCATCCAAGCCTCCTTCGAGATTATCCAAATTCCCAGTGATCTTGCTATTAGCCACCGCTGAGGTAAAGGCGGGTATATCATCGGTTAAGGACAACTGATGTCTATAACCATAGGTGGGTTCACATTTAGCCCGCTCGAGAGCACAAGGATTCTCCTTGTTTTGCGGTAGAATCATTGGCAGGGTTGGCTTATCCGCAAACGAGCCAAATCCCAGTCGATAGTTGCCCGTTAAATTTTTAAGGGTCTGACTGAGCTGGGCTCCCAACTCCTCCAGGGTCTCCTTGTCGTCCCTCATTGTCCAGGTGAGGTCCATCAGCACGTACAAATCGAGTGGATTATTGCGTGCAGTTCTATAGCTCAGCTTGATGCGTTGCGTGTTTCCTGCGGGACAATGGGGGAAAATGGGGGTAAAAGTTATAGATCGGTTTACTATGCACCCGTTGTTTACGAGCTGTTTTATGGGCTGACACATCTACATAAACGGAAACCGGTCTGCTCTGGATTCCACACCCATACTATATTTGCAGTGAGGAAAAAGGCTGCATTTCAATGTATATTGAAAACAAATAATATACAAAAGTTTTCTTTCAATTTGAATGTGAGCTTGAAGTGATTTTTTAATATAGGCCTTCCTAAAGAATTATGGGGAGAATATTATTATTAATTATTAATTTTTCTTAGTGCAAACTACTACTGTTTGGCAACCATTCATTACCACTTGAGCCTGTTCACACCCAGGCTAAATGTTTGGTCTCCTTGTAATCCTTAAACGTGCAATTTAGCCTGCTTCTTATGCCACTTTTTTACCCTAATTACTGGCTTTTCAGTTTTCTTAAGCAGGCGGCGATCTTCTATAAGCGTTTTAAATGGTTATGAAATTGGTTTATAAATCGTTTGAGCCGCAAATTAACAGACATCAGAATGGAGATTGAATAAGGCTTTAATCAGCACAACATCAATTGAGATATAAATATCACACGTCTTTTTATGGAATCGGTCATTAGGGTGTCAGTACATTGAAGTCTATATTAAGCTTGGTTCTATTTTAAGTTGCTTTAGAATAAAAAGTATTTGTGAACAAAAATGTATTATTGTCTAAAATCATAATGATTCATATATAATATTTCAACGACTATTAAAAAGTACACGTACGAATATTCATACAAAAATTTCTAATGACTCATATTTGCACGTAGAGATAAACCCTAAAACAATATCAATCTGTTAATCCTGGAGATTCATGCATGACACTTTTTTATAAAGTGGGTTCAGCGAACCCATAGAGCGACAAGGAGCGATAGAAAGAGAGAGATGGATAGAAGGTATTCCCACGCCAAATACAATAACAATAACAAGAAGATGTGACAACCACAAAATGCTGATAAGCGAAGCGCGGACACAAAACAAAATGTTCGAAAACGATGTGGAACAAATCAGCAAAGCAAACACGAAGTAGGGAAACAGAAACAGAAGAATGACACACTTGATATAGAAATAAATATAGCCGGTGAGAGAAAGGGGGGCTACCACATAGTGACACACATTTGATAAGATAAAAAAATAAAATAATGAAACAAACACACCTTTGACCAACTTGAGGTATGCTCGTTGGGGTGAAACCTGTACTGCCTGATCGCTAGTTTCATAGTCCTTTAGGGGTTTATCCTGCAGAAGATCCAAAACTGGTTGATTTTCATAGATATCCGTTTCGCTGCAGTTGTATTGAAGGAGTAGCGAGCGAGATAGACAGCGATAGCCCGCTTGGAATTCCTAAAGAGGGAGAGAGATGTTATCACTTAGGATCCAAACTTTGGTCACTCAGGCAAGGATCTTCTTGTTTACTGTGGCCATCTTTCTCGCACTCACCTTATCCGTGCACCATGCGCATTCCAGGTGAGTGGATAAACACCTTTCACAGCTGTCCGAGTGTTTACATATCTCATCTGCGAGAGCAAGGTGGCAAATTAGAGTGCGTTATGCAACGGTAAATTTAATAGCTTTACAAACCAATGTTGGCTGCTTCCGTTTGACAGATTCCCCAAATGAGAGTGAATAAGCAGATCCACAAGAACACCTGTCCCCACAGTGACGTCATTTTAAATTTTTTCTCACTTCAAATTGGAAATTTTTTCGGTTTTTATTTTTATAATTATTTTTCTATTGGAGCAAACAACCGTACGGCTTTAAAAGTCCAGCGCAACTAATATTTGTTCAGTACGAAAAGCGTTGATTTGCTCCGCTCGTCTACGCTTTTCTCCCTATATGCGTTATCTTATCGGGTGAGCATGGTAAAAACGTGAGAAGTTATTGGGGAAATATTTTGATTAGAAAAATAGCTCTATCAAGAGAGCGATTCCATTTGTTGGGATGTGAGAAATACTAAATGAAAACAAATAACTTTCACTTGTTGTCCAGGTCATTTGCTACTGCTACTATTTGTATTGATACTGGAATTGGTTTTACTAGTTTCCGGCAGAGATCTTTTTAAGGCAAATTACTTGGAGAGTTTTGACTCGATTTTTATTGGCATTCCTCCCAACGTTCTTAATTGAATTCTTAAGAGTACTGCATTTAAAATTGTTCATTTGAGGATGCTCCGATTTTGAACTCCTCTTCAAGTCAGATTTTTCAACGTTTTTGATGGATTCCAAGCGGCGTATTTTTAAGTGTTTGTTATTAGATTCATTAACGTACTGCTTTCGAAATAAATAATTGGTGGATAGTAAAATTTTTTTCATGTTATATTTTTCCAAGGTTTCGATGGATCGACCCAAAGAATAGTGACCCAAAGAGGGACGACCAGAATCCGTAGTTTCCACAATTTTTGTGCGATTTCAATGTGGCATACCTTTAAACGCTTGTAATTGCATTCTGAAACAAACTGCATTCAAAATTTTTCGTTTCCAGGTGGTCCCATTTTTGACCCCTGCTCATGTCAGATTTTTCAAAGATTGCAAAATGTTGACCCATAGTGGAACCACCATAAACCATAATTTTCACAATTTTATTCCAATTCCACAGCTGCAAATCGTTTAATGTTGTTATTGAATTCTGAAACAGTACGCATTCAAAATTGTTAATTTGAGGATGGTCTATTTTTTGTACCCCTCTTCATATCATAATTTTTGTGATTTCCGGTTCACCCATAACGGCTCTTGACTTGGACATCGTTAACCCGATTGTAACCCGTCCATTTAAATATACACTTTAAATAAAATGCATACATAGTTTTGTAGCCGTAAGAGATTGTCAGTCAGCGAAAATACCAAAAGGTACAAGTGCACATACCAGCCAGTCCAAATGTTGGCAAACCAACCCGAAAAACAAATGAGTTTTAAATCAATTTTGGTTGTATATATTATATATAAAAAAACGAATATTATTTAAGATGAATATTTTAATTTCTTTTAAATGGTCACACAGTCCAGCTTACTTACCATAAACTTGTTTGGAGCCCGCTCTCTTGCTCTCACCGGTTAGTATCTTTAGCGTTTTTGTGTACGGTAACATTTTCTGCTCTCTTCGTGCATGAACCCTGTTCTCTCATCTTCCCCAATGAAAGTCACTAGCTTACAAAATTGCAGTTGTGTTTTATTTTACCGACCTTAAGTAATGGTTTCGTAACCCGATCGATTTACTGGTTTACATAGTTGAATAGAAAATAGGCGGTGAAGAAAAAAGACCGTTTCGACATTTTTATTATAACAATCAGCTAACGCTAACAATTTTCTGTTTGAAATTGGGATTGATTGTATGTTGGCTAGTGCAAGCACAAAGAGCGGGAGAGCCAGAGAGACCCGGGTGGTATGACCACGCTTGCGCTGGATTAAAATACCAAAAAACGCCGAAAGCACCAAAATATTAGTATATCCCAGCCAGTTCGGCACCATCAGTGGCACCAACTGCGAGTTCGACCAAAAACGGAAAACGGAACGGTTTGTAGCGGAGCGCGGAGTTTCGCCTTTTGTGTTTTAGCGGAAAATCGGATGAAAAACTCGAAATGTTTACCAAATGAGCGGCGACAATTACGCGACCAATTGACGAGATCGTGTGTGTTTTTCCCAATTAAACGGTGAGTGTGCGACGGAGATGTAAAATATGCAGTCTAGTCAAGTGCGGCAAAAAAGATCATAAGGTGAAAAAGTCGTTAATAAAAAAGCAAAATAGAATTGCTGTGTGGAATACGAAAAATACATATATATACAAGGAGACGACGCGCAGCGAAAAAGGAATTTTTTGTGTACTACGGCGGCGCTTTGTTGTTGTTGTTGGCGTCGTGCATTTGCTTTTGTTTTGTGTGAGTTGTTGTTGCTATTGCCTTTGCGTTGTGTTTTGTGATTGGAAAAATAAGAAAAGAAAGCAGGAAAACTAAGGAGAGAAAAACGAAACGAAACAAAATAAGAAAATTGCCATTTTCGATTTCCTTGGCTGAGAAAAGTGAAAAGTTTAATTTACTAAACAAAGCGGCAAAACTGTGTGCGTGTGTGGGTGGCTGTGCCTCTGTGTGTGTGTGAGTGTGCGTGTCTCTCTAGTTTTTGCAATTTCCACTGCACACGCTCTTTCGTGTTGGATTATTGGATTATACCGCCAATAACGGCACACGCACAGCAACAACAACGAAAAAAAAACAAAAAAGCGATAAAGGAGAGCAGACGACTCTGGGATTAATCATTAATGTCCTGAGAGATAAAGTCTAGAAACAGAAGAAGAAGGTGGAGCAGAAGTCGCAGCAGCAGACGAACAAGAGGAAGACGGCAGAAGGTAAGTCAAAGTTCGGAAAATGCCCTTGCTTTGTTTAATTTTTTCTTATTATCCATACGTATTGAATTGATAACACAAATTATTAAATGTAACACATTTATATTTTTGTACCGTGTATTTCGAATCTAAGCCTTAAATTTAACTTTTTTACAAATTTTAATTTTTTTGTTATGTTTTCTTTATAACCAATAATTTAAAAAACCAAACAATTGTAACTTAAATTTCAATATTACCACTGCTCTTTCTCAAAATTCCAATTTCCTAACGGAATTTCCCAATTCTAGAACTCATAATTATTGCAACTAAAATCTAACTGAGTTGTTTCTCATCGATTCGTTTGCTTCACTTGGCCGGGCGCTCATTTTCCAATGAAAATTTATTCTAATGACGCTTTTCGCGATCCTAATCTGCTGCACATAAATTTCTTTGGCAACTTTGGGTGATTTATTGCCTGTCGATTGTCGTCGTAGTCGCAGGCGCTGCTTTTTGGCCAGTTCCAGCGACTCGGAGCGATTCGATCCGAAAAGCGGACCAGAGTCCCCCGTCCAGAAAATACAAGACCAGACGGGACAGGACAGGACGGGACAGGACAGGACAGACTGGTGCCAGCTAATGTACGCGTCTCCCAGATGCCGCGGATTAGATAAAAATTCTCAATTTATGCGTTTCGCCAGTTGCCAATTGCAGTCCACCTCCTAAAGCCTCCCCCTCCATCTCCATCTTCTTCTCCATCTGCTCCTCCTTGTTCGGTGAGCAGCATAAAAAACTTGTCGCGCCTACTAAAATCTTAGCCCCAGGGCCCGAGATGCCTTCATTCCAGTCTTCTCCGCAGTCTATCATTTGAAATCATGTCTCGGCGATAAGAAATTATAGTGGCCCGGTCATAATTTACGTGATTTGCCTGCCTAATGTCCTGCCGCACGACACAAGTACAAAGCGGGAGCCATAAAAATAGAGGAAGAATTCACATTTGGCGGCTGTTCCAAATGAGAAAGAATTAGGCCAAGAAGTTATGAACGAAAAAGATTAGTAGTTGCTGCAAAAAGAATTAGATATGTTTAACTTGGTGGAAGAATAATAAAATATAATTTATAAAGATGTAATGAGATAAAGACAATGATAATATTAAAATATGTACTATACTGATACATTTATGCTTACTTTCTTTTCTTAAATTTAAATCTTGGGAACTTCGCTTTAGAGATAAAAATAAACCCCTAGAAGTGTGGCCAAAAAACAACCTAGGGTCTGTTTGTTTTTTAATATTTATGCACTCCGGTTTGTGTGTCCTGGCCAGACACAACACAGTGTAGATTATTTTCCAACCCCATAACCTACAGTAGACCCATTATTTTCCTGTGGCCCCTGGCCAGTTTTCCCTGGAGAATGGCACTCTAGGTACACGCATACTGGAAAATCCGTTTCGTTTTGACATTTATTGTTTTTAATAGTCTCGAGAGCTAGGAAATTTTATGACACATCCTCGAGCGATAAAAATCTTTACTGCCCTGGGGTACATGCATATGGTTTATTCGTCGTTCCTCCGTTCAATAAGAGCCAAAGGTAAATAAAGTAGGGGATAAAAAGAAAGAGAACATTGGAATTAGCCGAGGCCGCCTCATAAAGTGAAAAGTGTCATAAAAATTAGTCAAGAAATCACGCTGCCCACTCCCCAATTTGTTTTTTTTTTTTTTTTCGGATGGCCGGCCGGCCGTTCTTTCTTTTCTTTTGGCCTTTTAACATTTCAGTTCCTTTCGGCTATTTGGTTGTTTGTTCTGACACATTTGTATGCTAATGAGAGTGCGGGATATGGAGGTTTGGTTTGGGTTAGGTGCTTCCGGCGGGAGTCTCTTGGACTTTTTCTTCTGACTGGAATCTATCAGGTTTTTGACGAGGGTCTTGGCCGGCGAATCGCTTTCGGAGGATAATGCATGCAGCTCAGGTCTTGCATATCGAAGTGGCCGCTGATAAAGGATTTGGGAAGTAGTTTAAGCCATTCGGACCGGGTCATAAATTGAATTATAATTCAGGCATAAGAAATTCTTTCTGTCTGAGAGCTTATGTCTAATGTTCTTCGGATTAAGGTCTTAGGTTCGAGATGTTTTTTTTTCTCCCCTACAGTATTTCTTGGGGCTTTAAGTACTGAATTTTTTGTTGGGCGAATTAACTTGAGTTGAAAACGATAAAACGAAAACATAAAAATATGAATATTTAAAACTTATTTCCTAGAAGAATGGTAAATATCCCTTATAACGAAGGAAGCCTAAAACAAAAGAATAGCGTAGTACATAAGTACTGCAAATTACAATAAAATGGAATACTTTTCCAACCGCTTGAACCCCTTTTGATTGCCTTTCTTTGAGGTCTTTCTATTTCCGATTACCTCTCCCAGATTTCCCATTTTTTTTGTGTTTTCCCTCGAATCGCTTTGGTTATCTATAAATAACATTTTGCTTGCCTGTCTTATCAACTTCCGCTACTTAATGTCTCCCCAACCAAATTGCAGCTAAACTCTTAGTTTTTCCCTTTCTCGCCCACCCATCTCTTTCAGTATCGCCCGTCTCTTTCTAGCAAATTGGCTTCTTTAGCTGTCTTATCCTAAAATGTGTGTGCGAGTTTGGGTGTGTAACAAAGATATCAATGGCAACAAAAAAAAAAAAAAAAAAAAAAAGAAATTAGGGAGAGGGAGGACAACCTTGAACCCGAAGAAAAAAAAAACAGGCAGGGCTCATTTCCGTTGCGGGTCAAACAAAGACAAATATACGCGACTAGAAGAAGATAGCTAGGGATAATACCACAAATCTAAAATCCACAAATGCCACAAAAAGTCAATAAATGTGCGCCTTTCCTAAATATTATCAACAGCTCGTTAGGAGCCACAAATAAATGAACAGAGATGGTTGCAGAAAGGATATATAAAAAAACTGTAGAAAATATATATAGAAAAGAAAGAGACAGTGGCTAAGACAATCAAACGAGAGGAAAACTAAAACAAACAAAAGACGCACGAAAATAAAAGAAAATTAAGTGGGGACTGGCAAAAAGTAAATGATGAAAAAAGAAAGTTCCGCAATTCCTCTTGTTCTTGTGCACTTTTTTTTCCCAGCAATTATCCGGTGGTCAAACAAAAGTCATTAAATTGCGGAAATCGGGTCACCAAACCGACAACAAACTCAGCCAAAAGAGGGGAAATAAAACAGACAAACGAAGGCAACAAAACCCCAAAAAAATAAACTGACGAAAAAGAACATACGACTAAATTGTGAATTTATTTACATTTAATTGCATCTAAATTACAAAACAAAAGCGGTGGTTTGGCAGCATTGTCTCAGAAATTATACTTTAATGTGTGTCCTCCGCTTTCATTGTGATGATGTCCCTCCGATCCCTCCTCTTCCACTTTTTCTTATTTGCCTTAGTGTCGAGATAATGATGATGATATGACTCATTAACCTCGACGCATGACCCAAGCAAATTAGAACTACAAGAAAACTCATTTCAGCCACAAAGACACCATTTCTTTACACTTCCCAGCAAAGGAAAAAGATAATTTAAAATTGGTCATTTTAATAATAGGTTTCTTGATTAAACTGGGAAAACTTAAGAGCTATCATTTATACATTTTTGTTTAAAGTACATTCACACATAAAAATATCAATACGTAGAAGCAAATTAATTTCATACAATATATTTTCCGGTTTTAAATAAAAAATTGTTGAGCTTTAAATATTTCGCATAAAAACATTTTGTATGACTCGTTTGCAGATGAAATATTTACGTAAAGCCTCTTCTACTTAAAAACACTTGCCCTGCAGCTGAGTGTAATCTTTTTTGAAGCGCATATGAGCGATATAGATACATAATTCAGCTGTCTGAACCAACCCGGCCTGTTTGAGCTGTAAGTGTCTTTTGAGGCCGTGTTTTATTGCTGCTAAGTTCGCTTGTTGACTTTGGCTGAGTCATCATCTCGCGGTTCGTCGGTTCGGTTTGATGTTAGAAGTTCCCCATTCTGCGTTTCCCCCGAATACCCCTGCCCTGTGGAAAAAAAGCAGCACTTAGCTGACATATTTTCCTTTGTAAAACTTAATGGTCTAGATAAAGTTCGGTCGGCTGACTGCGGTTTTGTCGCTTAAAGTTTTCTAAACCGGGCATCGCATGCTTAGCATTTAAATGAGCGGAAAAACGAAGTTTTGCATTGAGGACTGACTGGCGATGATTCAATTGGCCGTGCATTTGCCTGGGTTTTGCAATTTTTCGAATTGCAATTTGAACTTCGAAGACCACACCTTGGAACCGTTTCCATTTCGTTTCGTTGGGTTGGTTCTGCGCTTGGGGTTCGGATTCGGATTCGGGTTCGTCATGATTGCAATATCATCTGCAATCCGAGGCGTCTCCATTTCCCACGTTTTGTATTCTTCATAGTGCCCTGCTTGTGCAATTAGTTTGGAATTTCGAGTCATGCCTAATGAGCTGAGTGGGGTCAAGGGATTTAATTGCATCTTAAACGGTTCTCTCGACATCAATTTTAATTCTGCCGCAGCTGCAAAGGCAAATGCAAATGCACTCTTTGACTTCCTTACCACTTCCCGTCCGCCACGTCTTCTATTTGTGTTTTCCCTCGGAAAATGTGTGTGTGCTTTGTTTATTGTTCATTTGTTTATTTGTTTACATGGCAAACATAAACCAAACAAGCGCCGCCACTGCTGGTGGCAAAAAACTTTTAAGCCTGAATATGTTTACAAATGGCCAAAGAAGTTGAGCCCTGCTGAGGCAAGTGTTGGGTTAATTTTAATAAATGATGTGGAGGAGCTCCAAGGTCTTTAATTGCTCACAGAAAATAATAATTATGGCTTTGGTCCCTTTCAAATGTTTGCTTAAATTAAACCCAACTCGACATAGAGAATGTTGAGCCTCTGCACTTGTTTAAGCACTTGCTACCAAATTCTACCAAAATTGTTGAAGTTGATATTAATGTAAGAATAATTAAGAAGTTGAAAGGC